GAATTAGGTATCTCATAATTTTTAAGATGGTATTAGAGACAATTTTAGGAATGTTGAGACATTAATGTTAACAATGGTGGACTAAACCACATCGAACCAATATTGAACCACTTATTTTTTAGATGAGAAAGTGTGAGGAAAATTCCTCTTCAATGAGATAAAAAAAATATTTCTCGATATGATGAAAGTGTTGACAAATTTCACATCAACTAAAAATATAATAACATTATAATATATATAAATGAGTATAATCATTATCTAACTAAACTAATTTTGTAAAATTAATTTCAGTGTCTTACCTTTAAAAAAAAAAATTATTACGAGACACTCTTTGAAAACAAAAATTACAGCCAACTAAGATGAAGAGAGTCTTATAGGTTTTAAAACGGTTAATGCTATAGCATGCCCTAAGTAGTGAGTGGTATGTAAAGTGTAAGGGATAGGAATGAGATGCTGGTGGAGAGTGAAACGTACATCCATAGGGAATAAACTTTAATACGTTCTTAGGAAGGATGATGGCAATGAAAAAATGGGGCACATTGCAAGTAACTTTTTCCTAATTGGGGGCTATATAGGCCATGTCAATGTGGCATCTCACTTGCCTTTGGGTCCCTATAATCATCTAAATGGAATCTTAACCCTCACAATATTACTTTCCTTTCTTATCCCTATCCTATCAATTCAATCCCCAACCTTTCCCATAACATTTCTTTACTTTTTCTAGTAGACTTATTACCAAAAATAATCAATACGTATTATGTAAGATTAATATTTATTTATTTTCAATAATTAATCTTAATTATTATATATTATTTTATATGTTACCAATCTCACCTCATTTAAAATTCGAAATTAATGATAATTTATATATATCCTCCTTTCTTGACTCATCAATATATTTTTTAAGACAAATCGGACGAAAGTTTTAAAATGAACCATATCCATAATATAGATACGAGATCAATATACTAAATTTTTTTTATTTGTATCCATAATTATATTAAAATATATTGTTAATATAAATATATATATATATATATATATATATATATATATATATTACACACTAAAATTGAATCAAACAATTCCCAATGAAAATTCTCAAAACAATATGTTTAAGCCTTAAATTAAAAGTATATAATATTGTACACGTAATTAAGTATTATATTATAAAAATTTGATAAAGATATATAACTTTTTAATCATGTGGTGAATTTTGTATTAAATATATAAAAATGTTGTTTATGAATGGGAAATTACTTTTTAAGAAACATTAATTCTATTAGCTTATATTTGCATTCCTATATTATACGTACCCCATTCATTTTTCAATTTAATTGAAGGAGCTTTCGTTTTGTAGGTTCATATACATTATAAGTAAGAAAAAAAAACCGTAACTAGCATATTTTCTTCATACTAGTTAAGAGAACTCAAATAATTTAAAGATGGAATTTTGAAATTGATCCAATTTGAGAGAATTTCTTGATTAAGAATCTCATCATCGTTTTATAAACAGAAAGATAGAAAATTTACTTTTTTCGTTCTCTTATAAAAGGAATAGAACTTATATTACTTAAGCTTTGAGATATTACATAGAGAAGTCATAAGTGGAGCACGTTTTAAGCTGAAATTTTGTTTAGAAAAAAAAAAAAAAGTCAAATTGAAGTGCTTAGTTATATGATGAAAGCATGAGTGAAATTAATAGGTTTTACTAAACAAACTTATTGCACTGCTAGGTCAACGGATATTGGAGTTAATAATGAAACCCAATTTACTCTGAATTGATCATACATTAAGAAGTGAAAAGAGGTTTTAGTGGTTTTTGTCTCCTCAATTTTAATCCCTTCAAAAATTATACGCTCAAGTTATGCTAAAAAAATGATTTTTAATCTCATTTTTTAAGTATGTTTAGATAAACTTCTAAAAAAATGAATTTTATGAATAAAAAAAAATCTTTTCATAAGTTAAAATTAATTTGTTTAGATTAAAAAATTGAAAAAATTATATGAGAAAACTTCTATAAATTAAAAAAGATTAATTTTAATTTATAATTTTTTTAAGTTTACTTTTTATGAAACTTGTTCAAATAGGCAAATCTTTAAATTAATTTAGGAAAAAATGTTAAATTTTCACTAGTTTGACTAAGAGGAAATGTGGTATCTATTATTCTTATAACTCACATGATATTAAATTAATATTTTGAAGGTATTATATGCAAAACTTTTTAGTCTTTTGTGCAAATTAAACCCAAGGTTATGTTATTATTTATTGCAAACATGAATGGAGACAATGGAAGAGCACTACAACCTATATTGTACAACATGTTCATTAATGTTCTACAACATACCATGTAATAGTGTATAGTGTTAGGTGACAAATAGAGACCTACGTTGCCATCTAACATGGAAGAATATGCATGTGGTGCACTATATTCTTTTTTTCTTTTTTCTTTTTTTGTTGTTGTTTTTGCATATATATAAGAAGAGAAACTCGGTTAATATTGTACATGCTTGTTTATTTTTGTTGGAGAGATGAAAGAATAATGAATGGCTAATCATGTGGCAAAATTGGCTCAAAGGAAAAAAAAAAACAAATTCTTTAGAAGCAATTAGTTAGAGAAAGGTGTTAAATTGGTGAAAAAGTCAAGTTTTACCAAGAATGAACTATTGTTTCACTCAAACAAGATATCATTTGAGTCATCCCTACACGAAAATCCAACTCATATACTTGATTTAAACATCCTTCAGTTCTAAGAATGGAATTTGGGAGTGATTACTCATCAACTCCACAATCAATTTCTCATAAATGGGGAATAGTGGTGAGCATTGATAGGAGTGACGACATGATAGTGGTGGAATCTGGAATTTGTTTTATATGATAATAAAAATGTTGTAATTTGAAAATGATTTTTCTGAGAAGCCAAGTACCTGATACGTACCAGGTTATTAACTGGTTACACATGAAACGTGAGAGTTGAGACTCGTGTATCATCATAACATCCCATGATTGTTATATGGGTTGTGTGTGTGTGTGTGTGTGTATGAGTTGCTTTTGTATAATTATAGATGACACTTGGTGGATGCGTTATTATATTAGAGCATCCTAGCTGGTACATTTCATTATGAAATATTTTCTTGAAACCCAAGGGAAGCCAGAAGGAAAGAGAAGAAAAGAGTGAGGCCAAAAAAGAATAGTATAAGATCAATCCATGATCCATCCAACATCTCAACACACACGTTCTATTTGTTTTGGTGCCTTTTTCAACCTCATCAACTTTTCATCTCTTCCCCTCCTCATCCTTTCCTAATGTTAATTAATTAAGAAAATCTCTTGTGCCTTTCTTTCAAAATTGTTTCAATCTCTCTCTCATAAAGTTTAGGAGCCACGAGAGCAATGATTGTGCAAATATAAGCACACAATGTTCCCACTAACTCTCTCTCTCTCTCTCTTTCTTCTCTTGTTGCATCCCTACAAAACAATAACGCAACCCCTCTCTCAAGTATAGACACGTAGGTGAGGAAAGTTTGACAACTGAAAGGACTAAACCACCATTTTTTGTGTGTTTATATTTCTTTTGCATTGTCAATCAACTCAGCTTCCATAAATGACAGGGGCAACCATAGATTGCTATTGATCTTGCTTTTATAATTCAGGCATAGCCCTTATGCTTTTCATTAATGCCTTCTAAATGCATCTTGCCAAATTATCTCCATGTAATGCATTAACTATAGCCACCCTATTTTTTAGTTGGAATTTTCCCCCTCATAAAATGACTCTGTCAATTTTTATGTAATAACAGTGTAAAATTAGGCCTTTTTTTTTAACCCTTTTCAGAGATGGTAACAGTGTGGATTTCTGTAAATCCTCAACATATACTCCCTCCAAAGCAAAACCTATACCACAATGAAGTCTATTAAAATAGGCAAAAGGAGAAGAGCTTTAATTTGAAGATGTCACGGGCATTAATGGAATCCATAAAAATAAATGAACACTTAAAAAGCCCAAAGTTTAGTTCAGTAGCCGCATTAGTTGACTGTGCAAACAGGAGGATAATGGCAATGCCTCATAATACAGTATAATACCTTATGTTGGAAGTGCTCCACACATATTCATACCTCTCATTCCCTCCTCTAATCAACACCAGAAACATCACCCTTTTAATCATTAAACCCACAGATTAAAGATGGTAATAATCAACATTTTACACCAAGTTAAACCTTCAATAAATCACGTTCGTTTGTACATTGAAAAGAGAAACTGCATATCCACATCAAGTTTAAGACAGATACTGATAAATTTATGAAGCAAGAGTGGAATCTTCTTTGCAGGATCAAAACATCTAGGATCAATATCTGCCTTGCATGGTCCTACAAAACTATACATTTTCTTTCTTTTGTTATATAAAGGAAAAGTAAGGATCTAATGTCAATTCATGGGATGAAAGGAAAAAAATAAAATAAAAAACAAAAACTTAGAAGAGAAAGAAGGAAGAGGTGAATTTAATAATCAAAACATTAAATTTAAAATGAGTGAAATTCCACATCATTATTGACAGCCTGGCCAGCTATACCCCTCCCCCAACCCTTATAAGAGCATCCTAAAGAAACCACTCTCCAAAACTCTCTCTCTCTCTCTCTCTCTCAATCATCCTTTGTTCTTTCTTCTCCTCTGAGGCGTGGAATTTGGTTTTCATTACTGTCTCTCTCTAAACCATCAAGCACTCATCAATACTCGTGTCTCCTCTCTTTCTTCCTCTTTCCTCTTATGTCCTCCCACAGTGATTTCCAAACACACCTCTATTACACTCTTTGTTTTGGAAATATAGCCATGGCCTTGTCCTTTCTCACAGTCATTTATTTCTCCTCATAATTTCCATCTACGAGAGCTTTTCACAGTGCCACTATTTGAAGCAGACAACAAAGGCCAAGTAATTGATACCACCCAAAATCCCCTGTTCCACCCCTTCTCTGTTTTCTCATCTGTTCTCTATAAAGAATAGAATGGACAAGTGGGACAACATACCATCAAGAAAACAGCACCAAAGAGAAAACCCTTCTTTCTCTAGCACTCTCCTTGACGTTATCTACCGTTCAATTGACGAAGATCAGACGGAGGAGAAGGAAGAGGAGCAACTCATCTTCTACAGAGAAACCATGAGAAAGCAGAAACAGAGCAATTGTTTCAGAGAGGACAAAACTGAAGCTGAGAAACACAACTCTCGCAGGGCCAGGAAGGTGGAGAATTGGATAGAGAAGAGAACCAGCGAGAAGGTTCTAATGGGGAGAAACTCGTTGACGGAATTTGAAAGAAGAACACGAAACAATTCGATTTCAAACACTCTCTCCATGTATTCAAGCTCAACCTCTTCCTCTGAGTCAAGCTCTGTTGGGGGCTTCTCTTCTTCAGAGTCAGAGTCCTTCTATGGTGTGCAAAGGCCAAAGCCAGTTAAAACCAATGTTTCTGACAAAACCAAAAACAACTTTGATGCTGCACTTCACAATCACAACTTCAGGAGCCACTCTTCCCAAACCCAGAAGCCAAAGCATGAGAACGGTTTTGGCAAAACCAAGTCCAAAGCCTTGAAAATCCTTTATGGTGAGTTGAAGAAAGCAAAGCAACCAATTTCACCAGGTGCAAGACTCGCTAGCTTTCTCAACTCTCTCTTCACTTCAAATGGAAATGCCAAAAAAGCAAAGGTTTCAACAACAACTACATCTACTTGTCGTCCTGTCTTGATTCCGGTTGTGGCAAATCGTGCCGCCGATACTAAATCAGCGGCACAACAACCTGGTTCTACATGTTCATCAGCGTCTTCATTTTCAAGGTCTTGTTTGAGCAAAACTCCTTCTTCAAGATCAGGTGCCAAAAGGTCTGTGAGGTTTTGCCCGGTGAGTGTGATAGTGGATGAAGATTGTAGGCCTTGTGGGCACAAGAATGTTTACGAGGGTGAAGAAGGTTTGGTGGCTTCCATTGGAAAGAACAGGAGTGAGGAACTGAGGCTGCATGTCATGCAGGAGAGTCGCAGGGTGGAGGAGTTAGCAAGAGACTTGTTGAAGAACTATCAGAAAAAGGGTGAAGTGGAGTTTGATGCTGTTATGCATTATGAGGAGGAAGAAGAAGATGATGTGGCCAGTTGTTCAAGTTCTGATCTATTTGAGTTGGATAATCTATCAGCAATTGGGATTGAGAGGTATAGGGAAGAGTTACCTGTGTATGAAACTACCCATTTCAATACCAACAGAGCCATTGCCAATGGCTTCATTCTGTAATTTTGAGGAGGGGGGTAAATGGGGTTACTTTTTAATTAGAATTTAATGGTGTGGGGGTTTAAATCAGATAATAAGATTTCTCTTTTTATTTTGGTTTATTGGTTCTTCAATCTAAATTGTCTTGTCTTTATTATGTTCTCTTGGTTTTATTAGTATTGTTCATGGTTTTGTGTCTGGTTTTATGGTTAAAATGTGTACCTCATGCAATACCATTGAGCAAGAGAGGGTAACATTTGATGAAGATGTTTGCACGAGAAATGGGGAAAAGGGGTGAAAAAGCAATTAAAGAAGGGGAAGAAGATGAAGTTGAAAGCAAAGGCAGAATTTCTACACTTATTCATGGCAAGAGAAAAGAGGGTTTTTGCTTTCTCTCTTACGTGTGGGGGCCCCTTTTGCTTGAAATTAACACTATCTTCATGCATCTCAGATGCGTGGGAGCAATAGTCAAAAAGTGCCTATTTTAATCTAATGCGAATACGAGATCCTTTTTTTTTTCTCTTTTAATTTTTCAAAAATTTATTTTACTTAATCATCTCAAACTTAATTTATCAGAAGATTAATTTTTTGGGGGTAAAATCACTTGGTGGAAAATTTCAATGAAGGCATTGTTAATTTTAGAGGCAGCAAAAAAGAGGTCAAATGATGGGTTTAATGGAAAAAAAGGGTAGAGTTATAAGGCATGGTCTCCAAAGATGTGGACAAAAAATCTCTTCTTGGATTCTCTAAAACCTTCATGTCAAATTAGTTGGCTTCTAAGCCAAGAGCTTGTCCCTGAATTATTTGAAAGGTTAATGCAAACAGCTGAATATTGCTAATGATCTCTTAACTTCAACCCCAAATCACTCCAATATCTCAAACTCCTTTCTCCATGTTCCTCTTTTGTTTCATACATGTTTCACTTCTACTTTTTCTAAATTTTTGTCTCATCCCCTTCAATGAAATAGATCTCAAGCCAAATTTAATCTTTTCCCCTTTAATGTTCCATGTTCATCATAAACATTCTATGCTTCCTGTGTCAAAAAGACTACATAAAATACACACCCTGAGGTGGAAAAAAAAAAGAAAAAAAAAACTTTATGGGGATTCTCACATTATCTTAAATAAGGAAGTAAAAAAAAAAAAAAAACAGGAATGTTCAGATTCGGACTCCAAAATTCTCATTAACCTTGTTCTTCTGCATATTCAAACACTATAACATTCTTTCTCTTTCTCTTTTTATTGTCCCAGATGAAAATTAACCCATCTCTTCCTTTATTCTTCAAATTAAACGAGGAAGAAAAGCAGCACCCATGGCATCGATTCAGAAAACAAAACAACAATGATAATGAAAAAGAGGACCACTAAATCATAACAGTGTGATATGCTAATTAAGTTGGATGGCCTTAACTAACACATTTTTAAGGGAAAAAAAATCTTAGACTTTGAAAGCTAGGTAGCTGTGATGGACTGTAGGAAAAGAAAAGGCTATGCTATGCTTTAAAGTGTCATAGGCGAAGAGTGGCTTTGTAGGGCGTGGCCTTGTCGTGGACCTGTGATGCCCTAACCGCAATTGACAAAACATTAAGAAATTGATTAATGAAGGGAATTTGGCATGCAACTGTGTAATTATTGCCTTAAAAAATCACTTTGTAATCTCATAAAAATGATTTGTTTCAAATTTAAACACCATAAACTGTTACTGTTTTCATATGGTTGGTGAAGTGGGGGAGTACAGCAATCATAATTTATACCAGATAGTGGGTGTGAAACCACCAAACCTTCACCATTCCTTGGATTTCAAATAATTACACCAATCTTCCTTCAATTTTTTTATTAACATGTGTCACTGTTTCTTTTTCTTTAATTGGAATTAAAACAACCCATTTCATTTCTGGAGTTCTGTCATGCATGAGAAGTTAACTTGCTGCTTCAAGGAAAGTCCTTCATGCTATTTCGTTGAAACTTTATACACTAGGAATGAAATATTTTTCAAATCAAATTGACGTTACTTGTTTGTAAATTTGTAAAGAAGTAGAAAATGATTAGGTTTTGCTTTTCTTGGTATTCATTTTTTTATATCAATAGAAAAGAAAAAAAATGGAGTTGGGTGGTGAAATTAATTAAAGAGATGAAGAAATAATTAATTACAAAATGAGTGGACATAATGGTGAGATTCTTGCTTTATTTTCTGCTTAAAAAGATTATCAGAGTATAAAACAAGATCTGGGAAAATGATTAAACTTACAATAGTTTATCTTGGCTTCTTTTATCTTTCACATTGCATATCTTGTGTCTAGTTCTTTCATTGCATTACTTTAAGATCTTATGATCATGTTCAATATTTAGGGGTTGAAGACAAGACTGTTAGATTTTGCCATGATTCACAACACCAATCAGCATGGTTATGGTGAAAATAACTCTTTAATCAAGAAAAAGAAGAAAACAAAAAGCTTGTAGGTCAGAAACCGTGGCAAAACCTAATACAATATTATTTTGAATGTTGTTGAAACTTGATACAAAACGGTGAAGAGAAATTTAATCATTTGGTGATAGTTTAGCACGCGCAAGAGAAAAGCAACTGAAATCCTCAAAACCATATCCAAAAGAGAAAAAAAATAAAAATTCTAAAAGAATAGAATCGTTATTTCTATAGATTTCATTTTTGCCCTTTTCTTTTCAATAATTAATGGAAATTTGGTGAAAGTAATAACTTTGAACTATCTGTCATTAAATAATTTTTTTACGAGCAATAAATTATTATTATTAGAGGGTTTTATGAAAAATTTATATTCCAAATTGAAGTAAGTATCTTTTAACGGGACAATTTTGATCAATGAGGTAAAGCCAATATATGAACATCATTTTTTTCCTCAAGTGTTGAAAACAATTGTACATATCATTGATTAAATTAGAATAAATTTCACATTAAGTGATCCCCACCCTTAGTGATATACAACAAAAACTTGAGTGTATAAAAATATTTATGGTTTTATATAAAAAAACAGACATCACAATCTAATTTTTAAATAGATTATAACTTTATGCTATTAAAATATTAACGATCATACTAATTTTTTTTATACTTTTGTTTGTATTAAAATAATATATAAATATAATAATAAATAAATAAATAAAAATGATAAGTATCAATGATTAAAAATATAAGAAGTGTGAATGTTTGTTTGAAATTTTGTAATAAATTACTTAATTGCATACAATTGATAAGGATTAAGAAGAAAAAGACATAATGGCTCATTATAGGTAATTGTTAAACACACCCTTCTCCTTTTTTTTTCCTTATTCATATGCAAAAGCACAAGGATGTGTTCTTTTGACTCCTTTCTTAACACTGGAGCACTTCTTTGGAGGGAATCACGTTGACTTTTCTTCTTCCATTGATTGTTTTATTTTATTTTCAATCATGTTGGTAACTATATTGTTGATTAAGTTAATTTGAGATTATTAACAGGACAAGAGACCTTATTCTTTCAGTATTAATTTATTGAGTAATATTAGGGTTAATCTTGTTTGTGGTACCTAATAAGTTTTTACATGCAATATAACTTAATACAGAATTATAATTAAAAAAAAATATGGAAAAACCCAGCATAAAATGATTAAATTATATATTGGAGGTACCATTTGTCCCTCTAATTTAAGCACATAATCCAACAGACAACACAATATTACAGATAGATTATGAGTAGGTAATACCATGGCATTCCTTTGGTGGGTATATATGTCACTTACCCACCATGCACCACCCACTCATGCATCGTAAGATAAGACTTCACCAGTTTTTGTGGCTATTTTGAAGCATGCAATCCAAACAAAGGGGACCAAATAGGGTCAAATAAATTACCATGCTTTCTTCCGTTGTCTTTTAGAACACTAGATTATCGAATTTAAATATCTCTTAATAATAAATAATCTTTGTTGAAAATAAGTTGAATTGAAGTTTTATATTGAATAAAAATGAAAAAAATTAAATAATTTTAAATGAGAAAGACTTGTAAATTAATATTATAAAGTTTTGGGTTAATATGTCATATTTTTTTATATGATTAATTTATGTCTTATTTTTTTATATGATTGATTCATGTTTGTGAGAATATCTCTATTATTAATCTTAAAAATATTTAACAATTTTTTCAATAATTAATTACTCGTAAACTTTTAAAAAGTTTAAAAATATTTGAGCTTACCGTATTGTTTGGGTAGTCATCGTTGTTTCTATATATGCACATTTTTTTCTTCTACCATGTTCTTTCTAATCAACGGTGACATGCATTATGTTTTTGTTCTACTTTTGCAACAAGTAAGCACAAATTATTTACAGTTTTTTCATTCTTTGACGTCAACAAATGTTTTCTTGTTTATTAATTGTTTCATAATTTTTTTTTTGTCTGCGCGAGCTGTTCAACGATTATGAGATGACAAACAAAGTTGGATGGATCGGGATTTACAAATCAAATCTTCTTTCTTTTTATTAATTAAAAACAAAAAGGAAACAAAAGTATTCCCTTTTTTTTATTCCATTCCTGCTATACACTAGAATTATGAGAAGCACAAATCAGCATCTTTTGCAACTTTTTTTCTCTCTTGATAAGAATATATTTCATGGAATTCATAATGAGCAACGAAGTTTCCTGGTTCCACTCATCATCTATGCATGCATGTATATGTGTGTGATGAGGTATGCATGCATACATGTAATTTAAGAATATAATATATATATATATATATATATATATATATATATTATCAACACAAAATATGCTTGCACCCCACATACATATGCATGCTCAAACTACTTTTATCCAAAACAGTTTCTCAATCATTATCCACTAATAAACAATTTAAATTTAAACTAGTGATAAAATATTCTACTTGTAAATTTTTAAAAACCTATTACTAAAACCAATTCAATATTTTTTCTATGATTTTGGTACTTGTATTTCAAATTTCTTTTAGAACTACCAAAGAATAGTTATGTAATTATTAATTGATTTTAATCTTTAAAAGATTGAACAAGTTGAAGTTACCCTTTTTAGTCAATGAACTCTCACCCTTGGTTGTGTTGTGTCTCTCAATTTTCTTTATTTTTTCTTGTTGAATATAGATATAGTTCCTTGACTTGTGCTTGTCCAATATTAGTGTGTTGTAAAGCATAGCCCGTGGAATTAGGGCGCACCAAAAGTAAAGATATTAGAACATGTAGGTTGAATTAATTAACAAGTTCAAACTATCTATATATATATATAATTTCATAATCAAAGTAAAACAAGCGATTTGTTGAACGTGTATATGTAGTAGATTATGTTCACACACATTTAACGGTTAATATTGAAGTAGGTGTACGAAAATTGATTCACATACAATTTGGAATGAGAAGTTGAAAGCCAGCTTTAGACCACAACGCAGAGACATTGTACCCTTCAGTTTCTTTTTGCTTTTCTTCACTTTGCACCCACACGTGATGAACTGGTCCCACATGTCCCAGAACTGTCGCGCATGCACACGTGTGTGTGCTCTTCCTTCACTGATCCCCTTGAGATCCTTTCTCCCTCTTACCAAAAGCAAACAACACAGAAATATCAATATAGTATGACATAATGCACATATTCATCACTCATTCTCATCCATACACGCCAACTTCTATTATTCATCATTCTCATGTATAATACATCTTTCAACTTTTATATATATATATATATATATATATATATATATATATATATATATATATATATATGTGGTTAACCATTATGATTAATTTTCATGCAAATTTTTGTATTATAAGTTAGATAATGAAGAATATAGTCACATACACTCACCTGTATGAACCATATTACTTTAATTCATATGGATTGATATATATATATATATATATATATGCGTGTGTGCTTACATGCATTAATTGATTTAAAGGGTAGTGTGTAGGGGACCTTCCCCTTTGATTAGTGTTGCTCCCCTTCAGCCTGGCAAGAAACACCACTTGAGTGGTGACACTTGTGTGAGATTCTCACGTGTGGCACTATCACCATGTTTGGTGCCGCAAGAGCCTTATTTGACTTTGATAGTTGATGTGGAGGAGGAAGGGGGTGTGTGGGGTTGTTATTTTTTTGGTTCTTTTGAATTTGGAATGGTATGTATGGTGATTAGTAGTAAAGTGAAAGCGGCAAGGTTTTTGAAGAGGTGAAGTGTAGCAGCTTTAGTAAAAGAAAGTAAAAGGGAAAATACAAAGGGTTTGTGGATTTGGATGTGTGAGACACTGTGTTTGTCTATACGGAAAATAGAAAAAAGAGAAAGTGAACAAAAATTTGGTGATCCCAAGAAGATTGCTTGTCTTGAAATACTTAATTGTTTGCAGCTTTAATTTTCTCTTTGGAGAGACAGAGACTTGTGTGGGAGAGGGTCTATACCAGTATGACAGATTCTCTTCTGGGTTATCAAATGTTTCTAGTTTTTAAAATAATGTTTATATATACCTCTTTAACACCTCACATATCTCTTTAAACTTAGGTAGTATTAAAAGTACAATGTTTGAATCATAGTACTATTTTTATGATAACTATCTCTTTTATACTTTTCCCAAAACAAGTTAAAGGAGCTACCTATTACCTTCACTCACGGGCAAGCTTCTTTCATTTTTCTTAACTCAATGGAATGGTTCATTCTTTTAATTTGAAAATAGTGTTGGGAATTGAGCTCATTTGATTGTTATATACATCAGGCCTTACCTGCAGTCCAAAAAAGTTTGGATTTGGAATCTCTATATTATACATTACTTAAGGCTCAATCATTTGGTGTCCCGTACTATGGAAAGAACAGAATAGATTTTATATTAATTTAGCTCAAAATCAAGGTTGTTCATATGAAGCACAGTTCTGTGCATGGTTACAATTTCAAGAAGATAATACTTATATTCAGCCCCTAATAAAAAAATCATGACATTATCAATAAAGATCAGTTCTCATTTTAGTTGGCCTTCATCAATTCCTATAAAGTCAAGACATTCCATTAGATTTTCAGGATGATGATATGCTTGATATTTTTAAACCTTTCATGACTTGTATATATATTGTCACTAAAATTTTTAGAACCACACTAGTGGCATGATGATTAGAAGGAAAACAGTAATTAATGGAATGTTGTGGGATTTAATGATGTAGCTTCTGATGATAATGATGGCACAACTAATCAAGCAGTTACAACTTCAATAAGACAAGACATCTTTCTCAGCCGATGATAACATACATGGTGATTATTGTGCAGTTGCTCAGTACACTTCAGACATCAGAATCTTGAAAATTGTTGAATAGCTTGTATCAGTCTTTGATGTTCTAGTTTTCTAATTCAGAATAGATAAAAGGGTAATATATGCACCTATCTAGGAGTGAAAAAGCAAGAAAGGACAGTGAAAAATATATAATATAAATAATTTCACACAAATTGAAATAGCAACAACCATGTTTTGATAAATATTTAATTGTATTGGATTCAGTTCTATCAGAGAGACACAACGTGTTCATCTTCCAACCATTGAAGAATAATTACTGTCCCAAGTAAGTGTAAACAATTGATCTGTCACTTTTCACAGCTGAGATGTAGAAGTTCAAGTTTCATTTAGTACATCCATTTTATCTTTTATATTAAAGACAAAACAAACTGTTACTTCATGAGATCAGGTAAACTATCATGTAACATCGATCGTACATTAGTTCATTATGGTTCAATATGAGGTATGCATTGATCATAGGAAATTCTTGTTATTTACAATCTGCATTTTGGTCAGTTTTTTTACCCGTTTCGTTTGTTCTTTTCTGTTTGAGCTTTCTCCATCTGCAATATTTGGCAAAAGCAAAAGAGAAAGCAAAAAGGAAATGACAAGACAATGTTTCAATTCGTACGTTATGCCTTCCATTACTTAAAAGCCCGAAACTTTGAAAAATATTTTATCTATGGAGCTTATTGATAAAGTTGAAGGTCAATTTGATATATTGTTTAATAATCAATAATTAACTTTTGGTTGATTCGTGATTTGGGTTTATAACTAATTGAATTTATTTTTACAGTAACAAATATTACTTAATTCAACTAAAAAAATTTATTTAAATAGTTTCTTCATATATATCACTTTGAAAAAAAAATAATAAAACAAAAAAAAATTGTATTATATACATGTTGATTTATAAAAATCTATTCACATAATATTTTTTTTAAATTAGTTTTAAATTTATGGAGATTTTTATTTTAATATATTAGAAGTGTTTATATAAAAGTTTACTCAAAGAAACTCTAAGAGAACTTTAGAATTCATCATATTGGTAGTATAAAAGTTTTTATATTATTGATCAATAAATATCATTATTAATATGGTTTTAAAATGAATTATTAATAAAAGATATATATTTATTGTATATATATTTAATTTGAGATTGGATGATAACGAAGAGAAGTTGCGTCCTATGAATTCAAATAAAAAACTGTATAAATATGGTCACCGTGATTATATTTTATTAGATGTTAGCTTATTATTTCTTTCTTCTTCTTCTTCTTTTTCTTTTTAAGTCTGAGTTGTTTCTAGATTCGTGTGGCATAAGTGGGATGCCACATCATTCATGATAATTAAAACACAGCATCTTTCTGAATATTATGTTGATGATATATTATGTTTACTTTTATGAGGAAACATTATCTTTGATAATTCTTCTTCTAATGAGATACGCATAAAAAATTTGGGAATTTGTGGAGAGGAAAAAAAAATTATAACTTATAATTATTGAGATATTTAAGATGGTTTAATGAGAAATAATGGAATGTAAAATTCATTTAATTACCTTACTGGGTGAAGAAATGATGAGAAATTATGGTATAATTTTGAAAGAAAGTAAAAGGAGCTAAGTTATGGAATGATGGTGACTTGTTAGAGTAGTTATGGAGTGAGGGTGGAGAATCCACCAATGTCTCCTATTAGCCTTGCCATTAGCTTGCCTAACCAATACCCACCACACAACATATGTGTCTACGTATATCTTCTGTCCTTTGAAAGAATCTGTGAAACCTAAGTTTGATGAAGCTTGGCCAAACATGTAAGCCCCTTCCATGGAAAAAGGCTCAAATTATTTCTCCATAGTGAAACTTGCACAATACCTTACAATTCAATGAAATAGGTTTCTTCTTCTATAGCTTTTAATGTATGTGTCACTGTGATGTTCATGAACACACCTACTCTTGTTTGTGGAAGAAGATCATCAATTAATACAAGATTGGAGTCGTGGAAAAATGAGTACCTATTGTGCTAACCTACACTGTGCATGTAGCCATCAACTATGAACAGATATAAATTCTTAACCTACACTGTGCATGGAGATGATAGTTACACTGTTCGTACAGGTTGATGTGCATGTGGGCCATGACATCACCATCTTCTTCTCTTGCACTCCCTGCATTAAATACAAATAGTCTGTTCATATCATCTTATATTTCAACTGATATTATAAATCAAATTTAAAGAATTGAACTAGACATGATCAGTGCAGTAGATTCCTAAACGTGGCCATTCTCAAATCATTGATTATTTCTGCTTCCATCAAAATCATTTGAAAGAGCTTCCAAGAGTCGAAACTTCATTCCCTCCACTGCTCACATACTACTCTCACACAGTAAAACAGCTTAATTCGTTGCAAACATTTCCACTCTTCATAAATTAATATTATGATACACAGTACAAGGCTTTTTCTTTAATCATTTTCTGACATGCACACATTTGACAGAGACCCTCAATCAAGTTAGAGACGAATCTAGGAAGACCTAGCTAAAGGATAAGAGTCCTAGGTTGAACTAGATGCAGAAAAAATGGACGTAGGTTAACATGATGGTAAATAGTGTGAGAAAGACAGGTTGTTGAAGCCCCCATTTGAAGGAAATTTCATTGGCACCAATGGCTGCTACATATTTTAACTACCTATCAAGTCTAGGGTTTACCTACTGCCTCAAATTATTTTTCGGTCTAAAAGATAGAATTGATGATCTTGGAATAGAAAATAAGTTGCTTCTTCATCAAGGTTGACCATCTATCACAATTGACAAACACTAATTAAAGGGAAAAAGAGGATTTGATTCAACTGAAAATCATGAAGTGGGAGATGAGTTTTCAAACATGTGTTTTCAATCTCTACTCCCAAAGGAACTATACAAACATCAGTATTCCATGTGCTTACTGTTGGAAAGAACAGAACCAAACAAAGAACATGCAAAGAAAATTGAGTGAGATATGTTTATTAAAATTCTATTTGGGGTTTCAATACCACATTTCTGGGGTCTCATAGTCAATGGAATCAAACCAAATTAGTGAATGAAGTGACTGTTTTTGTTTCATTATTTCTTTTGATTTTAGTTCACTAACGAACGAATCAATGAAATAGTTACCAAAACCTGAATTTCAACAACAACAAAAGTCACCCACTTTTGCGTATACAAATTTTGAAATAAACAGTGCCACTCATCAACTCAATATCACTTCGGTGCCCTATTTCTCAATTTGACGCCATGGAATAGATGGGAATGGATTTGGAGAAAATTTCAATTCAAAACACTGGTGATACGTGAAAGTTTTTACGAAAAAAAAAACAATTATGGTGTATTAGAATTAAAAACTATTATTCACTAATTGTAAAATTCAATCCTGATTAATTGTATTTAATTATACTGCAATTTTAATTCATTATAATTTTTCTAAAAAATTAGGCTATTTTCTATGTACAATTCAAAAGTGATGAATAGTATTATCCTTACCTTTATATATTAATTTTACAAAATCGATTTTATATATTAATTATAATTTTATCATATCTTTAATTTATATATGATTTTAATGTTATTTTACCGTTTTCCTTGACTTTTCAGAATATTATTTTTCCATGAAATGAAGCTTTTTGGACTTGAAAGTGTCATGGACCACCTTGTAGTGGCCCATGGGGCTAAAAAGACAAGATGGCCCAACATTGAAAGCGTGGGAATCATAATTCAGAGAATTAGGCACATGAAAAACAATGAATTAACCCGATTTGAAAATGAGATCAGACCGTCGATTTAATTGATTTAATCCATAATTTATATAAAAATCAGTTATTAATTTTAAATAATTAAATTTTAACTAAATCAGAAGAAAATTAAAAAAATTGAGATAAATTGGTAAAATAAAATAAATTACTTGATTTTTTAGTCGAAACGATTTTAATAAAAAAAATTAAAATCATTTTTTTAATATAATTTTTTTATAAAAAATATAATATATTTTAATTTTTTTATCTCATACTATTTACAGTAACTTTAAATAATAATTATTTTATTATATTTTTATTTTATTTTAATAATGATCTATTTTACAATATTTAATATATAGCTTATATTTATAATTTTTATTATAATTTATTATGGTTATTACAATACTTTTTTTCTAAAAAATAATGTGATTAATAAAGTTATTATATACTTATTATATTATAAAAATATTATTTTCTTAAATTTGATTAAATTCCAATTAAATCTTTAAACCTTAAATTTATGTTTTGATCAGTGGTGACATTTGAATTGAAAATGAATAAATCAATGTTCAACAACATTTATTGATAAAGATAAGTTAATAGAATTTTAACATGCAGGACCAATCACAAATTTCTAATACAAATGAAAGTTTGACCTTTTCTACCGGATTCATGATATTAAAACTTTGAACTATTATACCAGGTAGCATTAATTTATATTTTTAAACAAATTAATGATTATAATTAAACAAAATGAAATACTTTAAATTTTATTTAGTCTAACACAATAAAAATTGAATACCCTAAATTTAACGGAAAAACCAAAATTGGTGGATGATGGAAAAGTTAGGAAAATTTAGCATTTAGTTCGTTAATAGGGCTTCACTGTTTTTATACTGAAAATGATTTTGTTGTGAAAAGGTCTTTGTTGCGTAGATTATTTGAAGATCTTATTTAGGTTTGAAAACTCATTTCATGGATCTCAATTTTTCAATTTCATTGTCATTTTGGAATGACATAAAGTTCATTACCGCAATCTTTAGGGATCAAAGACCATCACATAAAATGCCTTCATTCTCTTGTTATAAGTTCTTCAATCATTCATCAAAATAACTTTTTATTTTATTTTATTTTATTCACTAGAATTTTTCTCCTTTCTTCTTTCATGATGATATTTATATATTTTTTCCCTTTTAAATAGGTGCCAGAAGTTCCTTACAAAAGACTGCAATAAATATATGAGTAAGAGGGAAATGTAAAATGTGAGTAAATTGAGTGAAAATAGTTAGTTCTTATATCTGGTTATATATATAAGGATGAATTATGGTAATTATCCTGATAATATGAATATTTATCTTTTATTTTTTAAGTAAATATTTTGTGTTAATTTTTTTTAATTTTAAATAAACCGGTTAAGTAAGATGTTTAAGTATTATTTCAATATTAGAATATTATTGAGATATTATCGAAATATTTAATTAAGTATCTCGATCCTTATAATATTTAATTTTTTTTAGAATTGAGTAGATATTGAGGTGAATTCTGTTCTTATTATTTATAAATTTGATAGAAAATAAAATATAATATTAATTATTAAGTAGAAAGTGTACTTTCTAAAAATTATAATAAGATTTTGTATATAATAAATTAAAAAATTAAGTTTTCTTTTTACCTGTGAGTTATAAATACGAGATTTTTTTTCTACGTAGTTTTGTTTCTTGTTATTTTTTATTATTTTTATTGTTAATTTGAGTTCACTTTTTTTTTTAAGTGAACCGGTTTTATATTTTTCTCCAATATTGTAAATTTCTCTAATGAAAAAATATAACATATTATTAATATGATCATGCTTATTGATATCCTAATTATATTTTTACGCACGTAGTTAAAATATAATTATTGAGATCGTGTGAATATCATATTAGTAATCATGTTAGTAAGATTCCATTAACGTCATTGTTTTTATTAAACTATTTAATAATATTAACATAAATAACATTGACTCATTTAAAAAATAATGGAATCAAATATAAAACTAATAATATGGTGAAATTGAGAAAAAGTGGAGAATTTTGTGAACTATGGGCTGGAATGTCACTGGAACTGCGGGCCCATGGTTAACAAAATATAACTTCCAAATTGGGCCTAAGAAATGAATTTATTCTTCTTGGATCCTGTACTTTTCTTTCTACACCCCATATGTTTTAAGTTTCTATTTTGGCATTATCTTACATAATGATGAAATTATTATTCTAAATTATATATTTTGAAATATTGTTACCCGAAATTATGTAAATAATGCCGTAATAATGATTATTTAAGAATACTTTTAAATCTTTTCTAAAATGACTGTGTCAACACATTTTTACAGTATTTTTTGAATATGTCAGATTTTAAAAGAGTATTTTTGTCCATCAAATATATTTGTGGTGTATAAAGAAAAGTGTGGGGTGTATGAAAAAATTCCAAGAAACATTTTAATGGGCTCTCATTTTGGACGCATAAATGGTCAGAAGCCCAAACAAAACGAAGGAGAAAAAGAGAACCAATTTACCGAATTAAACATATTTGACAGTTTATGTAAACTTGAAGAGAGAGCATAAGAAAAGGGTGGATTGGTCTTTCCCATATTTTAATGCCCAGTATTAATATTTTTTTTAGTTTGATTTAAAAGAAACTAACTAAATTAAAAAAATAAATTAACTATTTATTTATTTATTAAGTTAAATCACACAAATAAAGTAAAATTTTAATTTTTAAAGATAACAATTTAATATATATAAATTATAATGTATTTATGAAATAATAATAATATTTAAAAATAAATTATAGATAATAATTTAAAACACAAATTCTATAAACTATTATTTATTTAGAGTAATGATTAAAATGTCAACCGTTAAAAAATTTTATTAGATAATTCTACTTTCTTTTTATCTTTTTCTTCTTATCATAACATATCTTTTAAATTTATCTTTTTTTATTATTGTTACTTTTTTTATTTAGATGAGAATTTTGGATTCCATAAAACATTTTTTTCTAACACAAACTATTCCGTCTACACGCTTCTTTTGGCAGCAAGGTGTCATCGATTTTATGAGGCAAACACAAGCCCGTGAGCAGAGGGTCTCTTAGTTTGGTGCCAACATGAGTTTTCTGTTCGGCAAGAGAAAGACCCCGGCTGGTACTTCTTTTCTCTTGTTTGCCAAGTTTTCTTTTTTATCAAATGGGCATGGTTTTTGTGACTACGTTGATGTGATTGAGCAAATTGCTCAGTGAGGGTGAAAAAGTTAATGTTTGGTTTTGGTCTGCATTCCCATTTAATCAAAATTGTGTCTTTAACTTGAATTGAGAATTGGGTTGGTTTGTTACTTGTGTTAGAGCTTTTGAGGGAGAACAAAAGGATGCTGGACAAGTCCATTAGAGAAATAGAGAGGGAAAGGCAAGGCTTGCAGAATCAAGAAAAGAAGTTGATTGTCGAGATTAAGAAGAGCGCCAAACAAGGACAGATGGTATCATTTATTTAGTGTGTGTGTTTCATTTGTTATTTGGCATTCTTATGTTGTTTGTGTCCGCGGAGATGTCAGTTGCTTTTAAGGATTGTGATTTAGTGTAGTGGGGGAGGAGGGTGCGTGGTGTTAAGGGTTCAGTTTATTTGATCAGTTATACATTGATATGGATTTTGGTTATGGTTCAGAGCTCAAACAGTTATTTTGGGGTTGGTTTGAATTTGGCAGGGGGCAGTGAGAGTGATGGCCAAGGATCTCATCAGGACTCGCCATCAGATTGAAAAGTTTTACAAGCTTAAATCCCAACTTCAGGGAGTTTCTTTGAGAATTCAGGTTTGTTTTTGCACTTTTTCATTGCTAAATTGAGGAACTTGAAAGTTTCTTCATACTATCTGTTCCTTGGAAACTAGCAGATAAGTTGAAGATTGTAGATGTTTAATATTGTATTAACTTGGACATTCTGAGTTTCTTGGGACATGGTGATGAATGAATGTTAACGGGTTATGTTGCACCAACTGTTTATAATATTTGCTGTCAATAATGAATTGATATTGTCATGGCAATATTTTGTTTTGGATGATTCCGAAAATTCACAATGTAGAGAGTCTGCTGATGCACAAGCATTTACAAATATGAAAAGAATAACAAGGCCCCGGTACACCCATGGTTGTATGCATCACTGTAGTACCTTGTTTTATGTCTTTCATTTTAATTTAATTCAACTCAACCTACCTTACCTGGCTAGGGTATGTTTTAGAATTGGAATATTGTTGGGTGTGTGTGTACTGAATCTTGTTGCCATTTGGTTTCTCTCCCAACTAATTCTTACGTGCTATAGATCTAACACCAGAGATAGGACTTTATACTTACAGATGATTCATTCATAACTTTGGATTAAAATAGATAACAAGCGACTCACTCTACCTAACCCAGTTAACATTTCCCTATATATACTGACTCTCTGGTGGGCTACACTTGCACCTATAAAGCTGAGGAGGTCATGCAACCTTCCTCTCTCTAACTCACCGGGTTATGCTTACCACTTTATCAGGACTTGATCACAAACCAAAATAGTTTTGGCTTCATCTACTTTTCTGCCACCAATCAAATACTAATAAGGGTGAAACTAAAACTGAAGCAAACGCATGCATTGGCATCAATCTTTAACAATTGCAACCCTTAAAAACAAAACTTTGACTGTATAGCCTGTATGAGTGATTGCATTAATTTGAGGTCAATTTCAGACACTAAAATCCACTCAAGCAATGGGGGAGGCTATGAAAGGAGTTACTAAAGCAATGGGTCAAATGAATAGGCAGATGAACTTGCCTTCCTTACAGAGGATAATGCAAGAGTTTGAAAGGCAGAATGAGAAGATGGAACTGGTTTCTGAGGTAATGGGAGATGCAATTGATGATGCCTTGGAAGGTGATGAAGAGGAGGAAGAGACAGAAGATCTTGTGAATCAGGTTCTTGATGAAATCGGAATCGATATCAATTCTGAGGTAAGTTGTTATCAGAAAATAGCTAATTATAGATGAACAAATTTATCGTTCTCGTAGCCAGAGAAGAAGTAAAAACAATAATGACAACGATGATACATATTTCATTTGTTCAATATGCAGCTTTTGAATGCACCTACATCAACCTCTGTCACTGCACCAGCGGCAAATAACAGGGTTGCTCAAGCTGAATCAACAGGCCAAGAAGACAGTGGAATAGATGACGATCTTCAGGCTAGGTTGAATAACCTAAGAAAAATGTGAAGAGTCCGAGGGGAAGAAGGTCTTCAAAGAACCCCAAAATAATGATTGTAAATGAAATTAGGATGTGTTGTATTCTGATTTTACTATCAGGGCTGAAGCTAACATATATATGTAAAGAGTAATATCACAAATTGAATTTCATGAATACATATACACGAAAGAGATTTGTTTTGATATTTATCAACTTTTAAACTGTGAGACCACATCCATATTCGTAATTAGTTACTCCTCTTACAACCTATCAAATGTTGGGTTTTGCATTAATAGTATAATTCATTTGAAATCCTTTGCGTTATACAGATGTATACACATGCTGAATACTTCAGGCATTGTTTACCACTTAACCCCCACTTATAATGGGGATTACAAACTGATCCTATAAGAAATAAATGCTAGAACATACATGAGTTCATCGTAGGAATCTTAAATCTCATCAATCACAGAACATATATGTGGGAAGAAGGAGAAAAGTTATGGTTTTGAAAGGTAGCCAAAAGTGGGGTTTTAATGATCCAGGTAATTCAGATTCAGGAGTTCACAATGACCATGATCATGTGATCATTTTCTTCCAAAGCCACTATACTATTTGAGGAATTCACTTTGTCAATCTGAGTGCGGCATAGAGGACAACCAGAATGAGAGCCAAGCCACTTGTCAATGCAAGAGGTGTGGAAAATGTGGTTGCAAGTGTGAAGCTGCCGTATACTTTCTTCTTGTTCAAAACTTGTCAAGCAGATAACACATTCAGTCTGGTTTGTGCTTTCTGCAGCCTTGTAGTGGAAGGTGATTGAATGAGACTCCAAACTCATGCAAGGAGAGAACTTGTCATCAAAAGATAAGCCTGGTGTTGGAAGGGATCGTATATGATTGGTATCAAAGCACCATCCAAGCATGATGAGAGTGAAGAATGTGAAAGAAATTACCAGTGTTCCAATTATCAGAAAGCAAGGGTAGATTTCCATTTCGTCTTATGGCATTGATTTTCTAAAAGCATTAGCAGAAATGGTGAAATGGGTATGTTGGAATACAGCCGTGTCATGATATGGTTGACGATAACTAAGACCACAACAACGACCGATTCGTTCTCAACAATGCTGAAGCACATAAAAGACAACTTCTTAAGGAATACATACATACTTTGGGTGGAATAAAACAAGCGTTTTCATTGTTCTTTGAGCAAATGAATACAACTAATTTGTTTGTGGTTGATGAGCACAAACTAGTTTAGTTGTTTCAAGTAAGAAAACATTTTATCTTTACAATGAAGTGGCATATATCTTTACATTTGCTGCTGATGAAGGATCTTATGGCGGATTCGGCTCAGGAATCTTTGTGGCGTTGAAAGGGTTTCTTCTATATATAAATCGATGGCAATGAATGTTTAAAAGGAAAGTTTCATTATCTTTTCTTCATGCATGAGTTTAAAGATTAAATTTTGATTTTAGTAACACTTAATTTTTTGATACCTTTTATCTTCAAGAAATTGTTTTGTAAAAGTTTTTATTACAATTTAAAAAAAATTCTAGCAGCTAAAAACTGGCAAAATATTAATTGCAAAGAAAAATCTATTTAATCCATTTATTTTCATTATTTTTTCTTATTCAGGCTTTTAGAACAATGGAAATATATGCATTGAATTTGTAGTTCAAATATTTGTCTTTATCACACTGTTGTCCTTGAATGTGGTATACAATGGCAGTAGAAACACGTTAGTGACAAACATCAAAAGTTCTATCGCTTCTACAAACTTAATATGATCCAATCAAATCAATGTTTTAGTATTGGATTCTATATTAAATTTGACATATCTATGACTCAATCATCGACTCTAACCACCACCGTGGTGGGTCTCAAAACATACTTCAAGTCTAGGAGGAGACTTGGTCAGCGCTAAGGCGACGTCCAAGAACCCTAATTTTTTTTCTATTGCTAAACGCCGCGTTGATATATACTGGGAAGACAAAATGTGATTAATTGGTTGTAAGTAAATATATAAGACAATTTATTTGTTATACTTTTTCTTTTCTTAAAAAATAAAACAACCTTAAATATTTATTTTTACGCATGGATAAGCTTTACCCGTTTACACCTCCTCACTGTAGACAAACAAGTATCTAAATAAAGCACTCTGTATATTATCACTTGATGTGTTTGCAATGAGTGATGCATGTTCAATTTATAGGCCCTTTGGATATGGTCTCTCAACTACATGCATTTAATACAACTACTACCTTTCAACTACATACATTCAATACAACAACTACCTCTCAACTACTACCTCTATAACCACTACCTCTCAACTACATGCATTTAATGTTTACCTAACAAAATCCCCCATAAACTTAAATGTTTTTCTTGTCCTTCATTCCAAGCATCTTCTTGTTGTTCTCGAACGAGTGGTTAACGATGGCTTCGTGAACATATCTGCAGACTTGTGTTCGGGTTCGACGTGCTCTAACTCCACATTTCCTTCTTTCACTTGTTCTCGGATGAAGTGAAACCGAACATCAATATGTTTGCTTCTCTCATGATTGACCGAATTCTTTGCCAATTCAATAGCCGACTTGTTATCAACTCGAATCACGAGTCTCTCTTTCTTGCTTCAACTCCGACTTGCTTAGAAGGTTTCTAAGCCAAACCGCATGATAGACACTCCAGGATGCTTCGCAACGTACTCGGCTTCACAAGTTGACAACGTTACAATGGGCTGCTTTTTTGAAAGCCAGGTGAATGTTGTGTTTCCCATGAAGAATACATATCCGGATGTGCTTTTCCGGTCATCAACATCTCCACACCGAGTCACTTATCCGAGTAGCTCTACTAGTCGATAATCATCCAGTCCTAGTATACATTAGGCCAAGTGACACTGTTCCTCTCACATACCTTAGAATTCTCTTTAGTGCCTTCCAATGAGTATACCTTGGCTCCTCCATATATCGACTTGCTATTCCAACACTTAGCATTAAATCTGGTCTGGTATTTGTAAGATACCTAAGACTTCCAATCAGACTTCGGTATTTGCTCGCATCAACTCGGTCTCCATCTGCATACTTAGAAAGTTTTGTACTAGGTTCCATAGGGGTGGAAACTGGGTTGCAACTTGTCATCTTAAACTTCTCCAAGATCTTCTCAGCATACATTTCCTGCGACACAAAGATGTCATCCTTTCCCTGAACAACTTCTAAGCCAAGAAAATATTTCATAAGACCCAAGTCAGTCATCTCAAACTCCTTCTTCATCACTTCTTTAAACCCTTCAATTAGCTCGGCATTATTCCCCATGAAGATAAGATCATCAACATATAGGGCAAAAAACATCACATCTTCTCCTTTATTCTTTATGTATAGAGCATGTTCATAAGGACACTGCTCATATCCATTCCTTTTGAAGTAAGTGTCAATTCTTTCATTCCATGCTCGTGGAGCTTGTTTCAAGCCATAAAGTGCCTTCTTCAATCTCAACACTTTCTTCTCTTCTCCTCTTCGCATGTATCCGAGTGGCTGTTCAACATATACTTCCTCCTCCAAGATTCCATTCAGAAATGCCGACTTCACGTCCATCTGCAAGATTGTCCATCTGTGTTGAGCTGCTAAGGAAATCAGCAACCTAATTGTTTCCATTCTCGTCACTGGGGCGAATACTTCGTCATAGTCTATTCCTTCTTTCTGCTTGTACGCCTTCACTACGAGTCGAGCTTTATATCGCTCAACTTCTCCTTCAGCATTTGTCTTCTTCTTGTACACCCACTTTACGCCGATAGGTCGTGCTCCTTTGGGCAAATCAGTTAGCTCCCATGTGTTGTTGCGTTCTATTGTTCCGATCTCCTCGTCCATTGCCTTTCTCCACCTTTTCTCCCGCACGGCCTCTTCAAAACTTAAGTCTTCGAATCGCCAAGAGACATACAACATGCACTTCCTCGGTGGAGTTGTATATATCTTGTAAACTTCGCGCTACGGGTCGTAGAGGTTCATCTTCTTCATCAGAAGTCTCATGATCTCTCATAGTATGTGGTGTATCAACTTCCGAGTTTCTACTTCCTATGGACTCCTTCTCTGGGTTGTTCCAACTCCACTCGCTTTCTTCATCAATTTGAACATCTCGGCTCATGATGACCTTCTTAGTTATTGGGTTAAACAACCTGTACGCCTTGGTTTTTTCATCATACCCAATAAACACGTACTTTTTGCTTCTATCTTCGAGCTTGGTCCTCTGTTGAGCTGGAACATGACCATAAGCTATGCTACCGAACACTTTAAGGTGAGACACACTCGATTTTCTTCCACTCCAAACTTCTTGCGGTGTCTTCTCGTTCAACTTAGCATGTGGACATCTATTTTGCACATAGATGGCACATTGCACTGCTTCTGCCCAGAACTCCTTTGACACGTTTTTGCTTCTCAACATTGTTCGAACCATGTCAAGAATGGTTCGATTCTTCCTCTCGGCAACTCCGTTTTGTTGGGGTGAGTATGGTGCTGTCAGAAATCTCCTTATCCCTTGCTCCTCGCAATACTTCAGGAGTTCGGATGAAATGAACTCGCCTCCACGATCAGACCTAACAGATTTGATAGGCATGCCAGTCTCTTTCTCAACCATTGCTTTAAATCTCTTGAACACCTCAAACACCTCGGATTTCTCCTTCAAAAAATATACCCAGGTTTTTCTTGAAAAATCATCTATAAAAGAAATGAAATACCTTTTCCCACTGAAGGACTCAGGGGTAATCAGTCCACAAATATCTGTGTGAATCAATCCAAGTTGTTCCTTTGCACGGTACTCGGCCATCCTCGGAAATGAGGTCCTCGGATGCTTCCCGAGCACACACTCTTCACATAATTTCTTTTCAAATTTCATAGACGGGAGTCCTCGCACCATCTCTTTCTTTACCAACTTGGTCAGTCCGCCAAAATGCAAGTGGCCAAATCGAAAGTGTCACATCATTGCTTCATCCTTCACGTCAAGTTTCAAACACCTCTCTTGGACTATCTTCAAGTCCAACTTGTACATTCTGTTCTTCTTCATTTCTACTCGGGCAATCAAACGATCCGACTTGTCCTTCAGGTATAGTACTCGGTCTTTCATCAGAACCGAGTAGCCTTTCTCCATCAGCTGACCCATACTCAATATGTTGCTTTTGAGATCGGGTACATAGTACACGTCTCTGATTTCTCCAACTCGGCTATTCTTCTGCAGGTACCAGATTGTACCTCTGCCTTTTACTGCCACCTTTGATGCATCTCCAAATGACACGTGTCCGGCCTCAACTTTAGTGAGCTCCTTAAAAAGGTTCTCGTCCCCGCACATGTGGTTACTTGCTCCTGTATCAAGATACCAAACTGAGTTGTCAAAACAGCTCGGACTTAGCTCGACATCCGAACTTCTCGACATCATCAATACTCCTTCTTCCTCAGAGAGGAGGTTTGTCTCCTTCTTCCTCTCAGATCGACAGTCCTTCGTGAAATGCCCAACCTTCCCACAATTATAACATTTGATACCTGAATAGCAGTCCTTAGAAAAATGACCGTACTTCCCACATTTGAAGCACTCAACTCCGGAATTGCTTGACTGACCACCTCGGCCTCTACCGTCACGACCTCTACCTTGTCTTTGGCCATGCCAGTTTTGTTGACTGACTGGCTCCTTGCCTCTTTCATATTCTCCTCTGCCTCTACCACCTCGGCCTTGAGTGTTCTGAGCATAAGGAACCTTCTTCTCCTTTAAGGTTGCCTTTGCTTGGAGTGCTTGATCAAGGGACTCCTCTTTCTTCTTCCTTCTCCGCTGCTCATGCGCTTCAAGCGACCCGGCAAGCTCTTCCACCGAGAGCACCGACAAGTCCTTGGACTCTTCTATTGCACAAACAATATTCTCAAAATCGTCGGTTAACGACCTTAAGATTTTCTCCACCACTCGGCAAGTGGGCGACGTCTCTCCATTTCTTCCGAGTTGATTCACCACGGCCTCAACACGGGAGATGTACTCGGCAACCCCTTCGACCTCTTTCATCCTCATGCTTTCAAGCTCGCCTCTAAGAGTTTGAAGCCTGACTTGCTTCACGCGATTATCCCCTTTATATGCCTTCTCCAGAGTATCCCACGCTTCTTTTGAAGATTTAGCATTTGCTATCTTCTCAAAGCCGGACTCATCAACAGCTCGGTACAGTACGTACAAAGCCGTTTTGTCCTTTACTCGTGTTGCTCTCAATGCAGCAAGCTGAGCAATCGTCTGCTCTTCAATATTCTCTGGTTCTTGGTGCCCATTTTCGACCACATCCCATACTTCTTGGGAACCAAGGAGAGCCTTCATTTGCAGGCTCCAGTTATCATAGCTTACGCCTTTTGATAACTTTGGTAGGGGCATGCTGTTAGCTAAGTTGGCCATCTCAAACAAACTCTCTAACTCTCAAACACTCTCTCTAACGCACTCAGACACTCAGGCTCTCAAGCTCTCAAGCTCTGATGCCAATTTCAACTACATACATTCAATACAACAACTACCTCTCAACTACTACCTCTATAACCACTACCTCTCAACTACATGCATTTAATGTTTACCTAACACTCACTTCTAATAAACAACTAATTAATAAAAGGTTGAAACTATGAGAAAAAAAAAATAAGCATTCCAACATTCAGTAAAAGATTTTTTTTTTCTACTGAATTTTCCTGTGTATGACGAATCTAAATATATTTGATGAGAGTGGGAGACATTGATTCAGTTTAGTCCATGAAATGAACTTCTTGGATGTATATAGTGAATGATTCCTTCCAACACGTTAAACACGCAACTGTTATCTCCATATTATATATATTCATTGATGAATTCTCCATCCCTGCATACGCAATGTTAAATTTTATATATATATATTATTTAGTCGTACATATTGAATATAAAGAATACACGGTATAAGGAGGAAAAGTGAGGTTCTTTAAAATTGCTACAGAATTTCCAGTGTCTGACAGTCCCAGTGTGGACAAGAAGACCAAAGCTGATGTGCAACATTTCCTCATTTCGAGTCTGTTTATAAAAAAAATAAATCTTTTAAATTTTTCTAAAAAACTTTATTATGACTCCCGAAAAGAATTGTATATACAAACTGAGTAAGACTAATTTTCTGACTCGTCTACCAAGAACTCTGAAGAGCTTCTGATTTCTGACCAACTATGCAAGCTGAAGCAGGAGTTTAATGGTTTGATTTCAACCTGACACGGATTCCAGGCATTTAAAAGCAACAATTAAGGCTTAATTTGGAATCTTGCCATTGAGGGTATTTTTTCATCTGATATATATTTTTCTCTCCATTTGGCTGAGAATAATTTGAGCTTGTTGCAGATATTAACTCCAGTTCTTTAAGCTGTTAGGAGTGATTTAAACAGTGGATTAATGCATTCAGTTGTTTGAGGTTGGAGTTACATAACTATTTTTTTTTATTCCTTTACTCTTGTACAGTACTTCCTGGACTTATTCTTAATAACATTTTGCTCTTAAGAAAAGGCTTTTGATCTTTCCATTTTTGGATGTATCTTGTTGCTGATCACTTTTCATTTTATAAGGGTGAAGACACGAAGAAAGATCCAGAGTATATTCAATCCAATCCAATGGGATATTCTTATTCTTTCCGAGATTTTGATAAAATCAAGCATGATGTATTTTATTGTCTCTTGCTGGTGAGGGCAAAGATAGACAATAATAATTCTTCATATCCAGTGACAAATTTTGTTTATCCCAATGACCCCCCTCATAAAGTACGACGTGTTTGTGAGCTTCAAATTGATGCGTTTGTGGATAACAAGCTTGTGAAAGGAGATGGACTACCTGAAGCACTTGTTCAAGCAATTGAAGGATCATTAATTTCATTGGTTATATTTTCACCACGCTATGCTTCTTCACATTGGTGTTTGTCAGAACTTGTGAAAATTGTTGAGTGTAGAAAAAGGATGGACAGATTGTACTACCAGTCTTCTACAAAGTGGATCCTTCACATGTGCGATGTCAGAAGGGGACTTATGAAGATGCATTCGCTAAACATGAAATAAAATATAGTTTGACCACCATGCAAACCTGGAGATCTGCTTTGACAGAGTCTGCAAATCTATCAGGATTTCATTCATCAACTTTTCGGTAAGTATCTTATGCATTTTATCAAGATACTTGAACTTGCGAAAAATTGGAAGTGGAATAATGAGAGTAAATATAATTGATACCAGAATATCTGTTTACATGTTTGTATTATGTTTTATTCTCTCTCTATTTTTTTAGAGTAAGACTTCTTCAAATGATTGTGTCATTGATATGCATAAATTTTTCTTTCTTTCTTTTTATAGGGACGAAGCTGAGCTTATTAAAGAGATAGTTAAATGTGTGTTGTTGAGATTGAATCAAGTGTAACAAGTTAACTCCAAAGGGCTTGTTGGAGTTGGTAAACGAATTGCACATGTTGAATCATTGCTACAATTAGAAGGGCTAGGATGTACGTATTATTGGAATATGGGTCATGGGTGGTATTTGTAAAACAACAATTGCACAAGAAGTATATAATAAGTTGTGCTCTGAATATGAAGGTTGCTGTTTTTTGGCTAACATAAGAGAAGAATCTGGAAGACATGGAATAATCTCTTTGAAGAAGAAGCTTTTCTCAACATTATTAGGAGAAGAAGGTTTGAAAATTGACACACCTAATGGATTGCCTCAATATATTGAGAGAAGGCTTCATCGTATGAAAGTTCTTATCATTCTTGATGATGTCAATGATTCAGAAAAGTTGGAAATTTTAGCAGGAACAAATGATTGGTTTGGACCAGGTAGCAGAATCATCATAACGACTAGAGATAAGCAGGTACTGTTGGCAAATTTTGGGTCATGTATATATATGATATATATTTAAATGTGTTAGGGTCATTATTTATTAAGCCAAATAATAAAGTGATTTGACTAAATTAAAGTTTTGGCTAAAAGCATATGTCATGAAAATAAAATTGTGTAGAGACCATAGAGCAATTTCTAATTTGATGAGGGGCCAAATTGGAAATACTAAAACTTAAGTAATTAACCTAATTCTGGTTATCTAAAGGGTCATGGTCCCCTTCGAGAGCACACACAGTAACGTAAGTATCGGTCCGTTCCTTTCTTTCTATCCCCATCAAGAGAGAAAATCAAGAGAAAATACGAGTGCTCTTCGGGTGGAAGACCATAAGATCAATATAGTGCTCTACAAAGACATCATCGTTATGGCTAATTCGAGTACGCTTTCGCATTCAGTTCATGACATGTTTATCGAGTATGAGATTATGTTTATGTTTGATTGTTAGAATCAAAATCAGGATTATTATTATTATTGTTATTGTTTTTCCAACAATTGGTATCAGAGCCGCCCATATTTGATTCATGTCTATTTAATTTATAGAACCTTAATTATGAAAATTAGGATTAATTTTGTTTTAAGCAATTCAGATTACCCAATTTTATGAACCCTAAGTAGAGGATAATCTCTAATTTTTGTGAACCCTAAAATTTAAATTTGGGGGTAACATCCCCAATCTGATTCACGCTTGCTGATGGAGCCAGTGGAGGAAGCTATGGATTCTTCTTCTTCTTCGTTTTTCACTTTTGTTTCAGGTTTAAGTTTCATCGAGAAAGAAATAGTGTTTCATATTTCAATTTTTCTTGTATTGGGTTCTCTGTTCTTTTTTGAATCTTTTGTTTTTATTTAACTTTATGGGTTTGGAATTGGGGGTGGTGTTTGTGGAGTTCCCAACACAGAGAATCTTAGGTAAATGATGAATGTTTCCACATGTTTGACTGTTATTATTTTATTGCCTCTATCCCCTAGGAATTTAAGGAAAATTTGATGTTAAATTAGGGTCTGAGTGATTACTGTTTAATTCCCTTTTAGGGTTTAGAGCAGTATGCTAAAGAGACTCAGAACTATATCTGTTTCATCCCTAGTGTGATTTTAGGAAGATGTTCATCCTTTATGTATTGGTGGAAAATGAGGCCTTTTTTCATCATTTGATTTATTCAAATGAGGTGTTCATCCCTAATGAGATTCTAGGGAGGCGTTCATCCTTAGTAGAATTATAATGAGGTGATTCTCTTTTGAATTAGTTTGCAAATATTAAATATTTGGTTTTGTTATATAAATAAAATATTCAATTTTTGGTAGTTTAATATTTTTTCGAGCAAATTGAGTCAAGAAGTCACCAAAGTAACTTCTCTTGAATTGGGCGGTTCATGAAAAATATTGAATGTTAGTGTTTGTGTATATTCATGCGAGTATTAGTCGGCCCAAAGGAAGATTAATATTTGGTCGAATTGCATACACACTTGTAATGATAAACATGTGATAATTATAAGGATTTGCTTTGTCGATGATAAATCAATCCAAAGACTGGTTTGTTGTTGGACGTGCTTTATTGTCAATGTTTGATTATTACAACAAGATACCTCTAGCAGTTAATATTACTTGTCCAAAGACTTGATATTGATGGTGCATTGGGTGTCTTGAGATGGGTTAAACCATTATTTGAATATATATTTTATTTATAATTTGTTTTTTATATAATGTGAGCATAATTAGTTTATTTCTTTTGTTCTAATCCAACTACAATTGCTTATGTATCTCGCCAATTTAAATTATGTTCGATCCTCAAAAGTATGTTTCCTACTTTTGTACTGCTCGAAGTCAATTTAGCGTCAGTACCTAGTAACACTTGGTGGTTAGACTCAGGTGCAACTACTAACATAAGTGTTTCTATAAAGGGTTGCCTAAGCTACCGGAAGTCAATTGATTCTAAAAGATGGATTTATGTTGGAGATGGCAAATCGGTAGAGGTGGAAGTTATAAGTCATTTTAAATTATTATTAAGTACTGATTTTTTATTTGGATTTGAAAGACACTTTTGTTATGCCGTCATTTAGACGGAATTTGGTTTCAGTTTCTTATTTGGACAAATTAGGTTATTTGTGTTCATTTGGAAATAATAAGTTCAGTTTGTCTTTTAATTAAGATATTGTTGGAACTGGTTCACTTTTGATTTATGATAATCAGTATTTACTTGATATTGTGGCCACCTATAATGAAACCCTTAATACAGAATCATGTGGTACTAAACATAAAATTGAAAATACTCACTCAAGTGTATTATGTCACAAGTGCTCAGGTAACATCAAATTGTGACGTTTGGGCTTGTGTTACACTCTTAAAGATATGATAGAGAGTATGATTTGTTATTCCACCTTACTGGAATCACTTTGGGGAGAGACACTAAATACGACAACTTATATTCTAAACAGAGTACCAACTAAAACAGCTACCAAAACATCTTATGAGCTTTGGACTGGGCGACAGCCTAGTCTGAAGCATTTCCATGTGTGGGATTGTCCAGCTGAGGCAAGACCTTATAAGTCAAATGAAAAAAAATTGGACTCCCGAACAGTAAGTGGTTATATTATTGGTTATGCTGAAAGATTCAGGGGATATAAATATTATGATCCCACATTAAAGACAATTTTTTGAGACGGGAACTGCTACGTTCTTTGAGGATATTGAGTTTGGGGGAAGAATAAGATTAAGAACTTCATCTTGGAGGAAGAATCGGTAACAATTTCAGAACCGATTCAAATAGTTACTTTTGATAAAGTAAGTTCGGAACCTCCACAAGGCATTGTTGATGAACCCCTCACTCAAGATGATTTGGTTGTTCATGAAGAACAAACTCAAGATCCTCAAGAACCTGTGCATCATGAGCTAATAACTTTGCAGAGATCCACTAGAGAAAGAAGAAGTGTTATTTCGGATGATTACATGGTATTTCTTCAGGAACATGAGGAAAATAATGATATAATGGAAGATGATCCAGTTAACTTCTGTCAAGCTATATAAGGTTCTAAATCTCAAAAGTGGATTGAAGCAATAGGATAAGTATAAGTCCATGCAAGACAATAAGGTTATTGGGAACTTGTCCCATTACCAGAAGGTATGAAACTCATTTGGCTTCAAGATGAATATTGTTGATGATTGTATGTATCACAAGTTTAAAGGGAGACAAGTTTAGTCTCAATCAGTGCCCAAAGGGAATTTAGAAATTGAGGAAATGCAAAAGATTCCCTATGCATCAGTTGTAGGGAGTTTGATCTATGCCCAAGTATGTACGCATCCAGACATAGCATATATAGTTGGGGTTCTAGGCAGATATTTAAGCAATCCAGGAATAGACCATTGAAAAGCAGCAAAAAGGGTCATAAGATATTTAAAGAGAACAAAAGATTATATGCTCACAATAGGAGGTTAGACCAGTTGGAGATCGCTGGATTTTCTGACTCATATTTTGTAGGATGTCAAGAATTTGTAGCATGCTATGAGACATCAAATCATGGAATATGGCTGAGAAATTTTGTCACAGGGCTGCAAATTGTGAAAGGCATTGAAAGACCACTTAAGTTATATTGTGACAATAAATCAGCTGTATTGTTAAGGAAAGAGTACAAAGTGAACAGTTTTCCATAGAACACTTAAGGACAAACTCCATGATAGCATATCCTCTAACTAAAGGACTTCAGCCCAAGGTCTTTCATGAGCATGTTGCTCACATGAGTGTTTTACGGTTTGAGGAATTTGTGGTTTAGTGGGAGTTAGTCATTTTCATATATTTTATGTTCTATGTTTAATTTTATATATGTATACATTATTTTTTGGACATATTTGGTTATCTATAGATATGCGGTTTTCTTGTTCATTCATTACACTTTGTACATTAAGGTTATTGTATCGATCTCGATAAGTTAAAGTTTGGACCAGCTTGAAAATAGACGTGTACAGATCACCTTCACGTAATTTTTCATGCTACACATTTCATGATGAATCCATGTCATTTGGTTATGTCGGGATGAGTAATCTTGTTGGTTTTAGTTGCGATGATGCAATGAAAAGCTGATTTGGTTCTATCTCCTGATATGATTAATGGACAGGACTTTTGGAATATGCTAAAGGAATATAATGACAATTTTGAGCTCATAAAGTCTAACACATTTGTAAGGTTGTAAAGACATATATATTTGTGACCAGTGGGAGATTGTTGGCAAATTTTGGGTCATGTATATATATGATACATATTTAAATGTGTTAGGGTCATTATTTATTAAGCCAAATAATAAAGTGATCTGACTAAATTAAAGTTTTGGCTAAAAGCATATGTCATGAAAATAAAATTGTGTAGAGACCATAGAGCAATTTCTAATTTGATGAGGGGCCAAATTGGAAATACTAAAACTTAAGTAATTAACCTAATTCTAGTTATCTAAAGGGTCATGGTCCCCTTCTGAGAGCACACACACAGAACGTAAGTATCAGTCCCGTTCCTTTCTTTCTATCCCCATCAAGAGAGAAAATCAAGAGAAAAATACAGGTGCTCTTCAGGTGGAAGACCATAAGATCAATATAGTGCTCTACAAAGACATCATCGTTATGGCTAATTCAGGTACGCTTTCGCATTCAGTTTACAGCATGTTTATCAGTATGGGATTATGTTTATGTTTGATTGTTAGAATCAAAATCAGGATTATTATTATTATTGTTATTGTTTTTCCACCAGGTACTTGCTAAAGAGTTTGCTGACATATATGAGGTTGAGGCATTAAACTTTGATGAATCCTTGAAGCTATTCAATTTGAATGCCATTAAACAGAATCATCTTGAAAGTGAGTACCATGAGCTTTCAAAGAAAGTGGTCAATTACGCAAAAGGGATTCCGCTAGTTCTTAAAATTTTGGGTCACCTTCTTCATGGCAAGGATAAAGAAATTTGGGAAAGCCAATTAGAAAGACTAAAAAAAGTGCAAAATAGAAAGGTCCATGATATCATAAAGTTGAGTTACAATGATCTTGATCGAGATGAGAAGAAGATATTTTTAGATATTGCATGCTTTTTCGATGGACTGAATCTGAAAGTAAAGTATATAAATTTTCTGTTGAAAGACCATGATTACTCGGTGGTTGCCGGATTAGAAAGGTTGAAGAATAAATCTCTTATAAGTGTTTCTCAAGAAAATGGTGTATCCATGCACAACATTATACAAGAAACAGCTTGGCAGATTGCTCGCGAAGAATCATTTGAAGATCCTAGGAGCCATATTCGACTATTGGATCCTGAGGACATTTATCTAGTACTGAAATACAACAAGGTAAAGATAATATACTATAGAATCTTTGATTTTTATTTTTTTTAGGAAAATAATTTAAAAACGATGTTTCAAAATTTTCTGCTACTTTTCTGCAGGGTGGCGAGGCTATCAGAAGCATAGCGATTAACTTGTCAAGAATCAAACAACTAGAATTAAATCCTCAGGTATCTGCTATGATGAGCAAATTACATTTTCTAGATTTTTACAGTAAAGGGTCTCGTAGTTGTCTCTGGGATCAAGGAGGCTTGTATCTTCCCCAAGGACTTGAATCTTTATCAAATGAACACTAAGATATCTTCGTTGGACCCATTATCCTTCGGAATCTTTGCCTTCAGAGTTTTCTGCTGAAAATCTTGTTGAATTGAACTTGCCATATAGCCGACTGAAAAAGCTTTGGCAAAAAGAACCGGTTGGTATAATGTATCCCTACATTATTTTGAGCTTTAACTTAAATTCATCGAATTCAAAAGATTAAATTACAGATTTTAATATTTGGAGTTATATTTGTAGTCATTAGTTAAACAAATGCATAAAAGTTAAGTTTTAGTTTTTTCTAGCTCTAATATCGTGCTACAATAACTACAATTTAAAACGAGATAACTAGAAGAACCAAATCATTAGTTTCTAACCAATCCAAAATAACCCACTTTCATATGTCACCATCTGGTTTCATTGCTACAGGATCTTGTAAACTTAAGGGTGCTTATACTCCATTCATCTACACAACTGAAGGAGCTACCAAACTTTTCAAGGGCAACAAACCTTAACGTGATAGATCTCCGATTTGGTGTAGGGGCTTACTAGAGTGCATTCATCAATTTTCTCTTGAAAATCTTGAGAAATTGGATCTACGTGGTTGCCTTTCCCTTAGAAGCCTTCGAAGCAGTGTCCATCTGGACTCCCTTCGTTATCTCTCCCTCTATGGATGCATGGCACTAAAGGATTTCTCAGTGACCTCAAAGAACATGGTAAAGTTGAATTTAGAGCTCACTCGTATCAAGCAACTACCTTCATCTTTTAGACTTCAAACCAAGCTTCAAAAGCTAAGGCATACAGTTACATTGACAACTTGCCAACAAGTTTCAAGCATCTCACAAGGCTGCGACATCTAGATCTAAGAAACTGCAGAGAGCTTCGAACTCTACCAGAGCTTCCCCCATCACTGGAAACACTAGATGCCCGTGGATGTGTATCACTTGAGACTGTAATGTTCCCTCCTACTGCTAGTGAACAAATGAAGGAAAATAAGAAAAGAGTTGCTTTCTGGAACTGCTTGAAATTGGATGAACATTCTCTCACGGCTATTGAGTTGAATGCACAAATTAACATGATGAAATTTGCACACCAACACTTTTCCCTATTTGGTGATGCTCAAGGGATTTATGTGTATCCCGGAAGTAAAGTTCCAGAATGGTTGGTGCATAAGACAACACATGATGACTACGTGATTATTGATCTCTCTCTCTTTTCTTCTTGCTCCACACTCCTCACACTTAGGCTTCATTTTTGGCTTTGTTGTTCCAGAAGTCTCATTTGGGGGTGTGGTTATGGAATTTAAGATTAGTACTGGGGATGAAGGTGGTGAAGGTAGCAATATCAATGTGTACATGGACAGACCACGTCATGGTATTAAATCAGATCATGTGTATCTAATGTACGACCAAGCATGTTCTTGCTACCTTAATGGTCGTGCCAAACATCAGCCAAGGTTGAAAATCAAGGTTGCATTGGCATCGCAAACGCTTACATCCAAGTACGTACCGTTACAGTTAAGAGCCTTTGGCATCAGCATAATCAATACTACAGAATACATCAATTTTGTTCAAAAAATAGAATTGGGTGATAGAATTCCAAAGGTCTCGATTTTGTTTTAGATTTTTCTGGACTTTTGTTGTTTTTGTTGGGACTCTTAATATTTGTGTCAGAAGATTAATCGAATAATTAATGAAAGAAAAGTCGCTTTGACAAGAACCTTGAAAACATAATTTCATTGACGAGGATATGTTGTGATTAGAATAATAGATCATTTACATAAGAAATTAAGGTATTCTTAAAATTTTCATTACTCTACTTTTATTACCTTCTATACATACATAATGACCCGAATCTACAAGTCTTCATTGCTGGCAAGTTTAAATAACAACGTATAATATATCTGAAATAATTTTTATATTCACACAATTTATTAAAAATATCATAAAAAAAAATTCAAAATATCATAAATATGCTAACAAATACATTTATAAACGTTAAATAATATTATAATTCGAAGTAAGTTCATTTATACACACAACTCCAAATATATCGAAAGTCACTTTAACAACCAAAGTCTACCAAAAGACTAAGGAGCTACACCTGATGAGTATATCCAGCTGCTTGTAAATCTGTGTAAACAAACACAAAGACTTAATAAAGGGATAACATCATGATTTACAAGAAAAACAAAATCTCAAAATATAATCTTAATTGGTATTTTTGTTTTTAATTCTTAACTTATCCACAAACAATACCATACTCATGTCATCACAAAATAATACTAATAATTAAAATTACGATAAAAAATAAAATATATAAAGTAAAAAGAAAAAGTTTCACTACTCAAGAGATTTTATAATTTTCAATGGAATTTAACGAGCAAGTAAGTCTTTAATTATATTAATTCAACAAATGTTTAAATATTTCCAATTTCAAATCAAATACATCCCATTTTCATTAATATTTTTAAATTCATATAAAATTTAAAAAATAATTTATGCACGTGAAATCGTCATTAGATAAAATATTATGTTTTAATCTCTTCAATAAAACCATTTTATTTAGTTACATTGTATCTACATAAAACAATGAATTCTATGGGATTGAATCGAGTGAAATTTTTGTTGTCATAGTTTTATCTTTAATATAAAGGAAGATATATATAAATTAACGTTAATATGCGAAACACTTCCTTTACCCGGGCTGGTAATTAATATGAAGAACGGTCCCAGTAAAAACAAGCATGCATTAAGTCCAAAGAGTATAAGAAAAATCGAAGCTTCTCACCTATTCCACACAGTGCCGGGGTAGAATTCATGATGTTCCTTTGGAATGCTAGCATCAGTTTGAAGAAAATTATTGATTGTGCTGACCCCAAACCCTCTTAACTGCACCAGTTTGAACTCGGATGTGAGTTGTAGTGATTCTACTGTAACCTTGATTTTCAATGTTTGTTGATTTTTGGCACGATTAATTAGGAATCGAGAACATGCTTGATTGTACAATAGATACACATGATCCGACCTAATACCATGTTGTGGTCGAACCAAGTACACATTCATACTGTCACCTTCACCCTCACCCCCAGTACTAATCTTCAATTTCAAAACGGAATCCCCAAAAGGCAATTCCGGTACAATGAAGCAAAATATGAAGCCCGAGTGAGACTTCGGAACAATGGTTACGTAATCATCATGTGCCGTCTTATACATCAACCATTCTGGAACTTGGCTTCCCGGGTACACATAAGTACCTTCAGCATCCCCAGATGCAGACAAATGTTGGAGCGCAAATTTCACCATGTTAATTTGCGCATTCGTCTCAATAGCCGTGAGAGAATGTTCATCGAGTTTCAAGCAGTTCCAGAAGGCAACCTTTTTCTTATTTTCCTTCCATTGTTGAGCAATAGAAGGGAACGTTACAGTCTCCAATGATACGCATTGACGGGCATCTAGTATTTCAAGTGATGGAGGAAGCTCTGGTAGAGACTTAAGCTTCCTACAATATCGTACATCAAGATGTCTCAACCCTCTAAGATTTTTAACGCTTGCAGGCAAGTTCTCAAGGTAAGTGTATGATAGACTTAACTTTTCAAGCTTGCTTTGAGATCCAATAGATGAAGGGAGTTGTTTGATACTAGTGAGTTGTAAATTCAACCTTGTCATATTCTTTGAGATCACTGAGAAATCTGCTAGGTTCATGCAAAGACGGAGAGAGAGATATCTAAGAGAGTCCAAACGGGTATTGCTTCGAAGGCTTGTAAGGGAACTACATCCATCCAACTCCAATTTCTCAAGCTTTTTCAGAGAGAAAACTGATGGATGAACACTAGTTAACCCTACACAAGATCTGAGATCTATTACTTCAAGATTTGAGGCCTTTGAAAAGTCTGGCAGCTCCCTTATGTGTGCAGATGAATGGAGTATAAGGACCTTCAAGTTCACAAGATCCTGTAGCAATTAAAACAAACAGATTATTGAAGACATTGCATGGCTGATATTAATTTTAGGTTGAAACTCAAATTAATGTATACATATATAAATATTACCGGTACTTTATGCCATAGTTGTTTCACCCTGCTATATGGCAAGTGCAACTCAACAAGATTTTCCGCTGAAAACTTTGAAGGCAAAGATTCCAAAGGATAGTGTGTCCAACCAAAATATCTTAGTTCATTCGGCAAATATTCAAGCCCTTGAGGAAGATACAAGCCCCACTGTTCTTTGAGGACAACATTGAGAGACCATGCAGTATAAAAATTCAGAAAATGGAGATTGCTCATCTTGGCAAATACTTGTGGGTTTAAATGCAGTTGATCGAGTCTGAACAAGTTGATGATTATGCTTCTGATAGCCTCGTTACCCTGCAAGCAAATTAGTATAAATTTTTTAAACATCACTTGTAATCTACTTTTCCTTAAAATATCCAATTCTTTTGTGGTATTTTATGTATTACCTTGTCGTATGCTAGTACTTCATAAATGTCATCAGGATCGAATAGTCGACTCTGGCTTCTAGGGTCTTCAATGCGAGCAATCTGCCAAGCAGTTTCTTGTATAATGTCATGCATTGATACAACATTTTCTTGAGATATACTGATAAGACCTTTATCCTTCAACCTTTCCAATCCTGCATCCACTGAATAATCATGATCTTTCAATACAAAATTTATGTACTTTACTTCCAGCTGCAGCCCATAAAAAAAACATGCAATATCCAAAAATATCTTCTTTTCATCCTCTTCAAGATCATTGTAACTTAATCTAATAATATCATGAACCTTTTTGTTGTGCACTTTTTGTCTTTCTAATTGACTTTCCCATATCTCTTTATCTTTTCCATGAAGACGGAGACCCAAAAATTTAAGAACCAATGGAATGCCTTTAGCATAATCAACCACTTTCTTTGAAAGCTCATGGTACTCTGCTTCTAGATGTTTTTGCTTACTAAAGGCATTTAAATTGAAGAGTTGCAAAGATTCATCAAAGTTTAATGCCTGAACATGGTATATGTTGGCAAACTCTTTAGCAACCACCTGTTTATCTCTGGTTGTCACAATGATTCTACTCCCAGATCCAAACCAATCTGTTCTAGCTAAAATTTCTAGTTGCTCTGAGTCATCGACATCATCAAGAATAATAAGAGCCTTCATACGATGAAGTCTTCTCTCAACGGACTCCGGTAACCCATTAGTTGTGTCAATTTTCAAATCTTCATCTCCTAATAATGTTGAAAAAAGTTTTTTCTTCAAATAGATTATTCCATGTCTTCCTGACTCTTCTCTTATGTTAGCCAAAAAACAACAACTGTCATATTCAAAACACAGTTTATTGTATACTTCTTGTGCAATTGTTGTCTTACCAATACCACCAATGCCCCAAATTCCAAACATGCGAACATCCATTGCTTGTAATTGTAGCAACGATTCAACGTGTGCAATTCGTTTACCAATTCCAACAAGCCCTTTGGAGTTAACTTGGTGCACATGATTCAACCTCATCAGCACACATTTAACCATCTTTTTAACAAGTTCAGCATCATCTCTATACAGCAAAAGAATTGATGAGAAACTCGAAAGAGTATCAAGAACATTAAAATATTCAAAGAAAAAACTTACCGAAATTTTGATGAATGGAATCCTGATAGATTAGCAGATTTACTCAAAGCAGATCGCCAGGTTTGTATAGTAGTGAAGTTATATTTTCTTCCATGTTTTGCAAAGGCATCTCCATAACTCCCATTTTGATGTCGTACGTCTGAAGGATTTAAATTGTAGAAAACAGGCATTACAATTTGTCCATATTTTTTCCTGCACTCAACAATTTTCTCAAGCTCCAACAAACACCAATTTGAAGAAGCATAGTTTTCTGAAAATACAACCAAAGAAATAAATGATGCTTCAATTGCTGCAAGAAGTGCTTCAGATAGTTCATCTCCTTTATGAATGCTATCATCCACAAAGACAACAATTTTCTTTTGAGAAAATGCCTCAACCAAATGGCTAAGGAAACCTCGACGAACATCTTCACCACTGAAGCTAATGAACACATCGTACTTTTTTTGAGTATAGTCATTGGGACATGTAGGACAAGTCGAAGATTTTACTGGATACCATGAATCATTTTCTGTTCTTGCCTTTGCAAACACGAGACAAACAAATACAACATATTTGATCATATGAGAAACTTGGAAAGACATTGGATTGACTAGACTCTGGATCTTGATTTCTTCGTCTCTCTACACCTTGGCAATATAAAAAACAATGATCAGCCACAAGATGCCTAGAAATTAAAATAGAGGGGGGGGGAAATGAAAATATCAAACAACTTCTGTTTTTACAGGACAAATATCAAAACCCACAAACATAATTTTGCTGTGCATTCATGTGATAGAAAGAGAATGATAAAATAAAAAAAGAATTATTGTATGTAAAAAGCAAATAATTAATTTATCAATATCATAAAAATAGTTGAATTTATATTTTTAATCAATATTATAATGAATTTAAATTTGTTTCAAAACATCTATTTAAATTAAATACTTTAATTGGTAGTTATATTCAATCACACTACTCATAATTTTAAAAATCGTTTTCTAACTAAAAAGTTTGACTTATGATATTAATAGTCTAACGAATGCATCGTTTAATATAAGTGGAGTTATTGAAAATTTTTATAATAAATTAATTAATACATTGCTTTTTTATAATTAAGATTATATCTTCTTTTAGCTTGTGTTTGGTTTTAGTGATACACTGTAGAGTAAGAAATGTGGAAGTGGGTTCACAAAAAACAATAATAGTGTTGTAAGATGGACGACTTCTTCTTTCACTTATAACAAACCATCTCATTTAATCCATTTGGCTATATAATTTGTTGGATGATTTGAACAATTAAATATGCAAATTTGATTGTGTCATAAGTTTAATTGAATTGCAAATCCTATTATTACAGAATTCTTGTTATAGCTACTGAAAAAGGAGATAATATCAATTATTATACCATCTATTGATTATTAGGGTGGACTTAATTGATTATGAAGACTTATATCATCTTCAAGTTATGCATAATGATTTTGCTGCCCTTCCTAATTGATTATATGTTTCTTCTAGATTATGCAAAAATACATAATCCATTATTTGCTTTTGTCAAACATAGTAAAATATATGTTTGGTTAATTTCTTTTAATAAATTTTCAATAATAAAATTAAAGGTTTTACAATTTTTATAATTATCAGGGTTAAGCATTTGTAAAAGAAGAAAATTAGCAAATAATTATTAAAATAATTTGAAATCATTTTTTCATAATGTTAATAAATTAAAATTATAATAAAATCAATGATAATAGTATTTTGGTCGATATATATTTTATTTTATTATTTAATTTTTTTAATTTACAATATCAACATTATCTTTCTACTATTTTTCTGCCCATTCAAATAATTCTCCTTTTCTTTGTATTTCTCTTCTTGTCTACTCCTTCACATTCACTTTTCGATTTAATTCAATTTAAATAAAGAAGGTGAAAAGTAGAAAAAAAAACACTTATACTATATTTGGATTAAACAATGAATTTGAGGGAGTGAAAGATGATTGATTTTGAGGAGAAAGAAAAGTGAAAGTGAAGTTATTTAAATTAAAGGAAAATTCGTCAATGATTTGATTTATATAAAAAAAATTCTAATAAAAAAATTGAAAAATTATAAAATTACCTATATGATTAAAATTATATTTATTATTTAAATTATTTGTATTTAAATTAGTAAGATGAAAAATGATTATTATTATTATTATTAAAATAATTATAAATATTATGTTAATATAGTATAATTATTATTTATGCATTTATTGTTATAAATATTATTATTATTTTAATAAACTGAATTGCGAAACATTACATAAAGAAAATATAAAAGAATTTAAAAAATTATTAAATAAAAAATACAATTAAAAAAAATAAAATAATTTATTTTTAATCTATTATTTAATTATTCATTATTTTAATTAAAAACGTTAAATTTTTTAAAATATAATTATTATTTTAATCAATTTAGTTCAATATCTTCACTTTTTAAATTCTTTTCTTATATGAAGAGAAAGTGACTGAATATTTTTTTATTGGATGAGAAAAAAATTACATTTCAAAACTTCAACTTTCTTTACAAATTTCATCTTTATGGCTTTCCATTTAAATTCACTTAGAAACAAATAGAGGATTAGACTTGGAAAGTAAAATCAATTAAAAAAAGTAAAAATAAGTAAAAAATTAAGATAGTTTTATTATTTATTATATATTTTTTAAAATGATTTATTATTAATATATAAAAAAACATAATAGTCCGTAATCAATAAATATATATATATATATATATATATATATATATATATATATATATATATATATATATATATATATATATATAATGGATCAATGTTTCTCACCGAAAACAAGGGAAAAAAAGAAGTTTACATAGTGAATTTCACTGCACTTTCAATACAAATCACTAACCATCACCTGTTTCAAATGCAAAACATGATCACAAATTTACTTTCTTCTGTCCCATTTAACAATAAATGGGTTAAAGCAAAGAAAGATTAAAAATGTCATTTTTTATATAAAAGATTGTAACTCTAATATAATAAACTATGTATACAAGAGTGAAATGAAAAGGAAACGGGTGTTTATAATTTGTTACAAGAATAAGTAGAAGAAATAGATAAATAGAAGAACTAAGTGAAATGAAAAAGAAAGTCATGTTAGTCCAACCTCTCAATAAATCATGAACTCTCCTATTTAACAGCTTAAAGAATAACTGGACTTAACAGCTGCAAGAAGCTCAGAGAATTCTCAGGAGAATGGAGAGAAAAAAATATGCATTACATGACAATACCAGGCTCTTCAGAAATAGCATGCACATGTGAATGAAAGGGAAAAAAGAAAGAAAGATGAGATCCTCTTGCCTGAAAGTTGGGTGACTCCTTGAAAGAGCTTGAATGTTATGTTGGACATGGTCTTGCAAGACTTTTTAGGTTAAGAAGTGAGACATGGTGTCTCAATTCAGAGTGGAAAAGTATGAGAAAATAATTGCAGGAATTTCGCATCATCATACGGTGATTGATTGCATATATGAAAAGAATTATTTTTTTGTTCTTTCTTATTCTCGACAAAACCAGCCTGTTTGGGGCAGGAACAGAATAAACTGTCATGTGTCAGACATCAAGTTAATATTGAAACGTCTATTTTGAATCAAGTATAAAATCTTACTCCAGTTATATTTTTAGGATTATATTTTCATATGTTATGAGTTTTATGTTATTTGAAAATTAATATAAAAGATAAATTATATTTTTTTAATCCACTGAAATATTTAAAAAAATAAAATTTTAAAATAAACAATATATTCAACAAAAATATTTCTCTTAGTTAAAAAAAAATTATATGTGAATCATTAAAAATTATATTTATTGACAAATATTTTAAACAGATCATTGTTAATAAAATATATAAGGACATGGATAAAATAAATAAACAACTATTAAATTGGCTATGAAATAAATAATATATTTGATTTTTTTAAAATTAATATTTTAATAATTAGCATTTATCGATTTAAAGAGATAAAATAAATTTATTTTATTTTATTATTGCTTGTGACTTCTTTTATAAATATTTATAGGCAACTTTATTATTTAATATTTAAAAAAATATATTGATTATCAATCATGGAAAGAAAAATGCATATATGACAAAATAAAGTCCTCAGTCAAAAACAACAATTTGAAGTGAATTGGTGTTGACAATTATTAATAAATCTTTACATTTATATTAAAAAAAATTGTGGAGATATTTTCATATTTGATGATGATTAAAGAAAATAAATATTATACAACAAATTTCAAACAAATTGATGAGAATATTGGGACAGCCAAAAAAATCTTTTTAATTTCAAAAGTTCATAAGAAAAAAAATATATAATATTTTAATAAAAACTTGTATCTGTTTTAATTTTTGTTATTTTCATCATTATTATTAAATTAATTAATTATATATTTAATTGATAATAGTTAAATATAATCTTATATTATGATACAAAAATGGTTTATTATAAATGTAAATACATTAAAAAAATATCCATTTGTTATTAATTTTAATATTTACTATTATTTTGTTGAAATGTAAAATGAGATCCTTCAAGTCAATGATGAATTTATTGCCCAATAAAATTGATTTTAGGTCAATCAGATGTGAAACGACCACTTTGTCCCTGATTTGTTATATTATTTAAATTATTTTACTTATATGAATGCACCTTTGATGAAGGTATAACAGTTGATTGATGTTATATAAAGTGATCATGTTTAAATGCTTGTGAACTGTGTATTATCCTATGATTTTTAGATATTTTAATTAATTTATCATTTAATTTATATTTTTAAAGTTTTATATATTTGTCTAACTTATCAATAACAAATAATCAGTTATATTATTAAAACATAATTAATTATTTTTTTATAATTGATTATTTATGAATATTTTTTTTAGTATATATATATATATATATATTTAAAAATAAATAATTATCATTTTATAATAATTGATTAATTTTGTTTTCAAGTTTTCTTCAACTTTTTTAAATATTAAGTGGGTTTTCTTAGTTTCTGTCATGTTAAATATGATAAATTTTATTATTGATTTTTTTTTATCATTTTGGTGAAATTGTCTTAAGATCTTTTAACTTTGTGTTGCAAGTTATTGATAGTTTCTTTAAAATAAAATAAAAACTATTTATTCATTAATTTATTGTATATTATATGTGAAGTGTGTAATTTTGATTTTCAAAAATAGTGTAATAATCTAGATTGGTTTGATTAAATTTACAAGTTAACTTGTAATAATATTTTAAAATAAACTTAAAAACAGGTTAATTTGTGGAGATTTTCTTAAATATCATTACAAAATATAATAAATAAACTAATTTAATTTTTTTATTTTTTAAAATCAAACTTATATTTATCAAAATCTGACTTATTATTAGACATAAGACATTTGGACCTTTACACCACCACTTAACCATCTAGTAAGTAATTTGTTAAAAAAATAATAATAATAATAGTGAAAAAGATTGTAAAAAAAATTTTAATTATAAAAAAATTTAATATGTAATAATTTATTTTAGAGATCAAAATTGCACAATAAAAAATTGCAGGATCAATAATAGACTTAAGTCTAATTATTGAAAAAGTAGTATAATATTAAATTAAAAAATAATAGTAATAATTATATAAAGATAAAAAATAAATATAAATTATTAATTTTTATATATGTTTGTGTTTATTATAAGATATATGACATTAATATTTGTTTGAACCACGCATATATATATATATATATATACATATATATATATATATATATATATATATATATATATATATTCTTTTTTATAAACATATATTATACCTATTAAATTTAATAGAATAGCAAATATAATTGTAAAATACAATGATTGATATCATGTAAGAAAAATATCAATTTAATGTTGATATAACTTACACTAATACATAGATTGAAGTCTATTTTATTTTAAAATCTGATTAGTGTAAATTATATTTTTATGAGCAATACTAAAATTAAAAAAATCTTATTTAATTTAAAATATTTAATAATGATTTATTTAGAATTAAAGAATATATATATATATATATATATATATATATATATATATATAATATGCTATAAGTATTACATTTTGTAATAATAATTATCTCTATATTTATATACTTTTAATATATGTAGATTCAAATAAAAAGTTTATAGTTCAATAAACATAAATTTATTTATTAAATTGAATAATAAATATGTTGTCAGAATTAATTATATATTGTATTAAATAATAATTATAAATATTATATTAATACTTATTTTCATTTTTTATTTGTATGTATGAGTATTTTTTATTTTAAAATAATTATATTTTCTTTATTTTTATATTTTATATTATTTATTAAAAATAAGAAACAAAAATTAATTGACTTTAGAGAAATCATCAATAGTAAAACAAATCGCTCTTAAATAAAATGAAAACAGTTACAGTTAATTTTGTTTATAATATTTATTATTTTTTAATTATGATATAAAAGTAATTGGAGATAATAATAAAATACAAGTAATACCTAACATACAAATAACAGTTTATTACACTACTTACATAAATTTAATTGAGAGAGTTGAGATAATGAAAATAAAATAAAAATACTAAAACAATCCACAAAAAGATTATAAAGAAAATTGTTTTAAAAACAATTTCATAAATTTTTTGACATAAACATTTTTAAAATTTTCAAAATCTAAGATAAATTTTGAGAAATATTAACTTAGTCACCTTTTTGCATTAAAAAATTGAAATAAACATTACCAATATATGATTTTTGAAAGATGTACAGAGACATACGTACAGACAGAGAGAGTCCAAAGCAAAAAAAAAATCCGGATTCACATCCGCAATTCAATTCACTTCACAAAACTATTTTCGGTTCCGAAAACACAACTCTCACTCGCCACACCATGATCAAAAAGCAAACCTAAACCCACACACATACCACTCTCTACTCAATTTCCACACACATAGAATTAATTGCGATATTAAATTAAATAATATTATAATTAAAAAGGAAAAAACCAATCCTCTGAATTCAATTTCATTTCCCTTTTACGTATCCAAGAAGTTTCTTATAAAAGATTCCTCGTCCCCCAAGAGATTCAAACCCATTTTCAACTCGTTAACTGAGTGGGATTTTGCTGCTTCAGTTACTGACTCGAATCGTTCTCTACTCTATGGTGAGTTCAATTTTCAATTTTTATCACATGGGTTGCTTTTAATTTAGTTTTTCATTGACCCCAATTCTGCATTTATTTGCTTGAGCAATATTTGTGACGTTTGTTTATTGGAGTTCAGTTTTGTAGTGTGTGTGTTTTTGTGTGTTTGATTGGTGGTTTAATCTTCTGGGGCATGGTTTCTTTTTCTGAAAGTTATGATTTTGGAACGATTAAGATATTCACTATAGGCAATTTTTAGTTTATGTCATCTGGGTTTGAGTTGATTCTGTGGAAGTAAGGATGTTTTTTTCTTTAACTTGTTTACTTTCTGTTTGTTGGGTTTTTCAGTTTGTGTACTTGAGGTGCACGTGGTTGGCACTCAATGGAAACTGTGGTTGGAATTGAGGATAATGATGATGGGAAGTTTGAAGACAGTGGGGTGGGTAGAAGCAGTTCTGCTCTGTCTTCACCGAAGCAAATTTCTAACCCAATTGTATACAAGCTTGTTCGGGTAGGTGTTTTATTGTTCATTGAATTTTCAGTTTCTCATTTGGATATGCAATTTGCTAAGGTCTTTCAGTTTGATACTTTAATGACAACAAGAACTTTAGTGTGTTTTCAGCATACCGGTACGCTGTAAGAGTTGTAAGGCTGTTTTTTAGTGTTATAAGGCACCTGTTTATTAGACTAAAAACCTAAACATTGTCCTTGAAGTGTTCTAATATTTTGTTTGTCTTTTATTTATCATAGATGGAATGTTCATGGCAATCAACATGATTGTTGTTCTAGCTGCATTATTTTTTTATTTCCTATTATTTGTTATAGCATTTATAATACCTCGATACCTTTTTTTTTTTCTTTTCCAGAAATGGCCAGCGATCTCCACTACAAATTAACAAAATTCCTGACGGTTTCCCATCTATCTTTGTTAGCATAGTTATTCTATAAATTACTTTCTTCTGATCACTTTCTTTTTTAAAGTAAAGTAATTCACTTTCCATAATCTTTTGTAAGGACTAAAATGAAAGTGTAGAAAGTTGAAAATGGAATGCAACTTTTTGTTAACATCTAGTTTAATTAAATCAAAGAAAAGGGGAGGTTTATTTTTAAGTAATTATTTTATTATATGGGCTCTACATTTTCTTTTGTGATTTATACTTTTGTTAGGCTATATGCATAATTCAATGAGTTGTCCATCTGATATAATTTTTAGGTTGAAGGTGATGGAAGGTTAGTGCCTGCAACAGATGATGAAGTAATGGAGGTGGGGGATTTTCTTGAGTATGAAAACAGTGAAATGCATGTTGTCGCAGACACTGGACAGAGTTTGGAATGCATATCAATTGAAAGATCATCTTCTGGGAAGCTTCGATTGGAGTGCTCGGAAGGTGCATACTCAATCTTTCATTATTACAACTGCTTCTCAGCATGTTAAAAGCTACGTAAAGCAATAGCATTTGTAATAATAGTTACATCAGACTATATCATGGGATTTCTTGGCTGTTCTATAGCAGCTTTATCTCTGCCAAGATGGATTTGAGTCATCTATTTCTTCTGTTTAGTTGATTTCAAGAGCAAAATTTGTGAGGGTGTCTTCAGTTTTTTTCATGTTATAAACAGCCTCTGTTTTTACAATGGTTAATTTGGGGTCAATGGGTGTCTAAATCTGTTGAAGGCTTGAGGCTTTGTTTCTCTATGACATTGCTTTAAGATTTTTATCACTAAATGCAATCCTGTTTGTTATTCTTCCCTGAAATGATTAGCTTGTTTGTAACTTTAAAGGGTATAATGCCTATTATCTAATTTTAAAATGTTGATGAACTCTTGATGCTCTAGTTAGGTATACGGACATAATTCCTTTTTTTAAAAGTTTAAGTAAATGCCATGTTGGTTACCCTATTCTCCTTTCCCTTTCAAGATTTTTTTTTTTTTTGTATTTTCTTTCAAGTAATGCTGTGGTGTTTCACAATTAGGGTCTGCAGAGGCAGATTTGGGGAAACTAAATGCAAAATTACAGGTAATTGGATCTCTTTTGTTTCCTCTCGTTCCTTTTCTCTCTCTAAGGATTTAAACATTAGGGAAAGAAAAACTACACTCTCAAACTATGCTTTGATCTATTGTGATTCTCTTTGAATATTTGGAGAAGTTGGTCTTTCCAACTTGATATTTTCTTCTTGTTTGAGCATACATAATAAAGATTTCTGGTATGCGTTGTTACTTAATTGATGGCCATATTAGTTTCTTAATTGAGTCTTAAACATTGACATAGTCATCATGGCAAGCCTTTTCATGGTACAAATACATTTTCCCTTTCTTTAGAGTAGATGTGGTGGGTCTGAGATGCATCGTAATTCTATTATATATGAGTAGTTAAGGCATGCATATTCTGATTCCAAAAAGTTTAGTTCCTAGATTCTCCTTCAGATGTTATTCATGCAATGCCAATGTATACGTTCCCCTGTTGTAATTCTCATTATTGACTAATAAAAATTTCTTCTTTTATCTGAAAGTGAAGACACTGACAAGTTTTCCTTTTATGAGTAGTGCAGTAAGATGTAGCTTAAATAATAGATTTCTATGTATGCTGACAACTGACTTAAGTTTTTCCAGTTAAGAATTGTTGCATTTAATAATTGATGATACTTAGTTTGGCAGAACTATGGTAAATATTTATGCTTTGATATGTTTATGTATATTGCAAGTTTGCAACATTTTCATCTTCAACACAAGAAGAAAGTTAAAATAAGTGTCCTTTGAGCTTTTTTTTTTTTTTTTTTCATAATCATTAGTATGAGTATATGCTCTTGATTGGATTTAACTTTCCATTTGAGTGTTTTATCCTTTACAATATTGTATGTCTTTTTCGTATGGAAAGTGATTAAATGCACCATTTTTTCTTAATAACACGATGTTACCCCCGGATCATTGCCACATAGATAAGGGGGGGTGCCTGGATACCTGCACATTGTGGTATTTTCAGTATTTTGTTTCCAAGGCTTCCTTCTTGACCTCTAAAAATTCCTGTAGTACATTGAGCAGATTTTGCAAAAGGTCAAAGAAGAAGAGAAACAACGGATATCATGTGGATCACCTGTTCATTCTCATGTAAATATAGACAGCCAGTGTTCAGCTGATAAATGTCCTGCCATGGATGGGAAGGTCCAATCTGAACCTCCCTACCAGGAAATTCCTTCCATAGCATCGAGTTTAAATTATACTCATAGCAATCAATCTGGGAGTATCGATCAGTGTTCCAGACCTTCAGAAGGAGTAATAGAAAGTGGGTCATCTGCTTCTGCTGTTCATTCCAATTTGAAGCCTGACCTTTCAATTTCAGATGGAGAAATATGCTTGGACAAGCTGTCAATCAGAGAACTTCATGAACTGTTTAAGGTAACTTTTGGTCGGGAAACTACTGTGAAAGACAAACAATGGCTGAAAAGGAGGATTGCCATGAGTTTAACCAACTCGTGTGATGTTTCAGCAACAACTTTCATTATTAAAGATAACAAAATAGTTAGAAAATTTGTAGAAGAAAGTGCTGGAAATATGAATGCTGCATCTTTAATCTCTTCAGAAACTGTGACTGAAGAAGACGATGTCAACTTTAAGGATTCATCTGCTGTAAATGCTTGTGGAATTGATGATAACCAAGTTGTTTCTGAAATAAGACTGAGAAATCACAATACAGAATATGGACTGGAAGATGAGAATCATCAGACAGATCAAAAAGCTGCAAAAAGAATTCGAAGGCCTACGAAGAGATATATTGAAGAGCTTTCTGAAAATGAGCACAATCCTAGGTTGCCAATTTGTAATAAAAACATGGGACTTGGACAAGTTTCTCCAACTTCATATGTCAGGCCTGGTAGAAATGCGTTTTCAGAGAGAAGATCATATGGCAGGAGGTTCGAATCTCTTGGAGGTTCTGATGTCCACATTCCTTGTGTGTCTCGGATTCGAAGAAGTCGTCCAAGGAAAGATATGGCATCTCTTATGGTATGTGATACTGTTTCTTGCTTGTATATTAAGTTTACTTCCCTCAGTAAAGCATGATTCCATCTTGTTCCTGTTTCCTAGTTTTAGGCAAAATGGTAAAAATAAGTCTTTCTTTTAGTGAAAAGAAAAACCTAAAAAATACAGCTTTTATAGCAGCTAATGGGAGGAGACTTCTGCTTTAAGAAGTCAAAAAAATCTGGGCCATTACACAGGTTCTGAACACCTCATTAGTCAAAATTGGAAACAAATCATGTAAGGTGGAAACCTTTTCTAAAAGACCATAGAAGATGTTCTAAATTATTCTAAGATTCAACAATATTATTTTAATATTTAAACACTAAACATTCTTGTTCTACTATAAGATAAATAAAGTAATTCAGCAAGTTAATTTTCTTTTGTCTGAGTTAGATAGAAATACATAATTTTTCCCTTTACTTCATTTTCTAATATCAAAGCAAATGCTTCTTATTAATATTATCTGCAGCCCTCACTGTGTATGTTTGTATGCCTAGTAAATGTCTCTTTGTTGCTACATGATTTTCCAATGTTACGTTTCTACTCCTGCTGCATCTTTCCAGCAGAAGTTTGTTGATCATTCTGGAAATTATCTTGTTATGATTGTTTTCAAGAGTGCTTTTATTTTTTGACAATAAGAAAACCTTATGCTCTTTGTTTCAGAAATTCCATCCAACTGCCATGAGTGAGACTGCAAAATTGAGTAATAGGCTCATTGAGCATAGTTTTGATGCTGGTGGTGAGATTCCAGATAAAGTTTTGATGTCGAAAATGCCTGCTAAGTTGCATCAACCGGTAAGAGCAACTTGGCCACTACTAATTGTTGAAAGTATATTTTTTTATTTATTGGAACACAAGAAATTTATTACAATGAGTAAGATGAATTTTATAGGAAGGAGAGAGTATAATAATAGGACCATAAGAGAGTCAGCAGTGGGATAACTAATGGGAGTTGGGAAAATTATAGCACCGGGAGAAATTGCTAATGTGTTGATCTTGTCAACTTTTAATTTTATATTTTGAAAATGTTTTTGGCCTCTCATCTTTGTTGCTTATTTTGCTTACGTATATTTCAGTTCTTGAATGCTTGAACTCAACTTGGTGGCAATTATGATTGCTATTTTTTATTGTTTCTAATCTGAATATATTATCTGTACGCTGTAAGGCAGGTACTGTTTAAGTAGCCCAAACGAATATCATGCAGTCATTTCCTAATTGTACCATGCCTCCCATATGTCAGCTGTGTATCCTACTCCTTATTGTCATAACACATTGATTGATAAATTTCTCCAGTTTACAGTTCATTCTGTTCAAATACTTATAGTTGGCACAAGTTTCAGTTAAAACAGTTTACTTATTGTCTTCCTAAGATATTTCTATTCTTTCAATGGCTGAATTCTACAATGACTCCACTTTTTTTCTTTCTGTTTTCGAGATAGTTTGTTTTTTGTTTAGTTAGACTAGTACTTCCTGGGGTTTCCTTGATGTGCGATAGTGATGTGACATGGAATTGAAGCATTAGCTTAATATAATATGCAAGTTTGCACAAGTTGCACCTTGAAAAAGAGATGACTAACTTTTAGTTTGGCATTGTTTCGTTATTTAATTCAATGCATAATATCATGACTTTTTTGTTCTATTGTGGGTGGTGGGTGTGTTTGATAGTCTTCTTCTGAACCTGAGAAAGAGAAACAGTGTCCAGTAGTGGGCACAATTGAGCCACGGCAGGAATTAAGGCCAAAAAGGGCAGATCCATCTGGTCATACTTCAGATGACAACATAGTTACTGTTCCCACGGCAAAAGGAGGGATGAGGAGGAAGCATCATCGTGCATGGACTCTTGTTGAGGTCATAAAATTAGTTGAAGGTGTGTCACGGTGTGGGGCAGGGAGGTGGTCTGAAATCAAACGACTCTCCTTTGCGTCATACTCATATCGTACATCTGTTGATCTTAAGGTAATCTTTTTATGTGGACTTCTGATCTTGTTAAAGGTGTTAGAGTACATGCAAGGCTCTATTTTTTGTCTTTGTGCATGCACTCATTGAACATACATTTTATTTTACAGGACAAGTGGAGGAATTTGCTCAAAGCTAGCTTTGCACTGACACCTGCACCTGCTGACGAAGGGGTAAGAATTTATGATACTAATTTTAATTTGATCTTGTAGACGTGGGTTAAGTTAAGTTTCCTCTTCAAACTCATGTCTTACGCTTATGCATGCTTGACATTTGAGATGCCATCATGCCACGAATGTTTATCCTTTATCGAAATTACTATAGTATTATAGAAATGTCATCTTTATGTAATGTTTTTCAGTTGCATGCTTTTATGGGTTGCAAATTCTTGAAGTTCCTGTTTACTGACTTCAATTGTCCTTAAGTTACTTCATTGAAGTGGGAATTATTACAGTGTTCTAAATTGAGAAATATTGCAAGTTATAAATTCAGCTACCATTATTATAGAGACTTGTATTTAATTTTATTATGGTGTTATAGATTAATTCGCGGAAGCATGGTACGGCTCCAATTCCTGAGAAAATTTTACTACGTGTAAGAGAGCTTGCTGAGATGAATTCTCAGGTTCCTCCAAATTATAGCTCCAACAAGGTAGCAGCTGGTGCAGGGAGTGTGCATGGAGATAGATCAGGGTACTTGTAAATAACCAAATTCCTTATCTGGCAGCAAATTTGAAAGAAAAAAAAAACACTAATTTCTGCACTTTGTTAGACCAATCCTTTCTTGGATTCACAGAGAGTAGATGCAAATCCTGTAGACAGTTGAGATTGATTAGATGTTTTATGCATTGAAACGTTGAATAGAATCATGTGGTCAGTTTTTGGTTCAAGCCGTTTTGATGGTTGTAAATTTTGGTCTTCAGTTATATACCTTAATTTTAGTGTATTCGGTCAACAACGTTGTTTTCGGTTCTAATGCTGTTAATAGAATAGTTTAAAGAATCTTATGATATAGAATAAAATGTAACGCTTTTCTTATGTTTCCCTTTTAGGGTTGATTACAGAAAAAAGGTAAGTAAATTTATATTTAAGAAAAGCAGTAACCATGATATATTTAAGATTTCATCGAACTCTATGTTGCATTATACAGATGTTTGGGTGTATGTTAATGCATATAATTTTTTTTATCTTGTTGCTTGATAATTCAAGTTTGTGTTTGTTTGGCTTGGTTCATTTTGAGTTAAATGCTTGTCTTTTCAAGCTTTGAATTTCAGTATGTAACTTATCTCAATCCATAAAAAATATATTTGTCTGATCTTTTTATTATAATGAAGAAAATAATTTCATGTTTGATATGAATGTTATTTATATATGTATAGGTATTATCATTACTTCATAAATATTAAGAAATATTGACAATATATATATATATATATATATATATATATATTTTTTTTTTAATTACTCAATGTGATTATCCAACTTAATCATAATTGGGTTTGGTTGGATTACTCTACTAAATAAAAAAAATAAACCCAACTATTACACCCTCCATCATTTGAGTTTTGTTAAAGTACAAGCTTACAAAAGAAATCACATACTTTTAATTCATAATTTTAGTGTAAAGAAGATTTTTTTTTTTTAAAATGGAAATATGTATTTTTAGTTCTTATATGTTTTGTCCATGATTATTTTTGTCAATTTGGTAATTAGCCTTTTAATTAAAAAAAGAAGAAGATTATAAATAACTTTGTTATATTTAAATTTAGTTATTTAGTGAAAATTTTGTTACTATTACAAAATTAAAAAATGATTAAATTTTTATAATTTTTGAAAAATCTAATGATTAACTTATCACTTTAAAAGTATAAGCACCAATACATTATATAATTAATTAATATTATAGATGTTTTTTCTTTTTCTAAATTATAAAAAATTAAAAAGTTTGAGATTAAATAAAAATTATTAAAGGAGGTAAAATTATATACGTAAAATAAAATAGCTAACTTGTTTCCCTTTCTTCTTGTCAAGAGTTGATTTATAGTTCATAACTAATATTTTTGTAAAATATTTAAATTAGTTGGCCCAATATGAGTTTTGAAACAAAACTTGGCCCAATAAAAAGGTGTTAAAGCTGGGCCTGAAATAATTCTTCAATCTCCTGTTCTCAAACCTACTCTTCTCTCTCTGCGCTTTGGAACATCGTGTTACTGTGTTTTCCGGTGAGTTAAGATCGTACCTTGTTTTTCTCTCTCTTGTGTGATTCTTCTGCTTTAGCTTAGCTGTTTGCCCTTTTCGTGGTTTAAGCGGAAAATCAAAATGGGTATTATTGAGAAGATTAAAGAAATTGAAGCCGAAATGGCTCGGACCCAGAAGAACAAAGCCACAGGTACTTATTTAGCACCCTCGAATTTCGTTCTATTAGTCGTATAATCACCGAAAAGTGTTTTTATTTATTTTTGGTTGGGTGTTGCTTTTTACCTTACCTTTTTACATAATTCTCTGGCCTTATGGTCTAATTTTGGGTTCGGGTTTACCTTCTACGTCTTTTTGTTTTTGATATGTCGTGATTATAAATGTATTTTGATTTTGGTATTGTACAGAGTATCATCTTGGGCAGCTCAAGGCAAAGATAGCAAAACTAAGGACACAATTATTGGAGCCTCCGAAAGTTCGTTTTCATAGTTATTCCAAGTTCGCTATTTCTCATTCACTTGTGATGATTGATGCATGATTTTGTTACATGTTTATATTCTCTTAACTGATTACTGAATGGCAGTCGTCCTTTTAAATTGTACAAGTTCGTCTGCAAGTTTGTCATGCGATTCGTATTCTCTTCTTTGCAAAGAATGAGAAACCTTGATTGCGTGTGTAAGGAAAAGGTTTTACCGTATTTATGTATTTCAACATGTCTATTTATCGTTATTTGTCTGACATAGGTTGCTATTACTCTGTAAACGTTTTTATAAGGTGTGGTATAATATTTTGTTATCAAATTCTGTAATAGGGTTCGAGTGGAGGTGGAGAAGGATTTGAAGTTACAAAATTTGGCCATGGACGTGTTGCGCTGATTGGATTTCCAAGGTCCATCTTCTAAAACAACCCTTTCCCATTAATTTTGATAATTGATGTATTAGATTAACTACCATTGTCTAAATGGATTACAGTTTTGCAGTGGTCTATATTTCCTTTAATGATTGTAATTTGGATGTGTTACATGTTTTAGGCGTCTGCTTAAATTTTATTTGGGTTAGTTAAACGGCTTAGTGTTAACCCTTTTCATTTTTGTCCTTTTCATACTCCAGTGTGGGGAAGTCTACTCTTTTGACAATGCTAACGGGCACACATTCTGAAGCTGCATCTTATGAGTTCACAACTCTGACCTGTATTCCTGGGATTATACACTACAATGATACTAAAATTCAGTTACTTGATCTTCCTGGAATTATTGAAGGTGCTTCTGAAGGCAAGGGACGAGGAAGACAGGTAAAACTAAAATTGCTTATTTATATCATTCCAGGGTAAGGGTCGTGTTCTATTTTTTTGTTCTCCTTTAAATCATAATCAACATGCAATAGCGTTGCTGTTATATTTCCTTTTGCAGCTAACAGAGGTGTATAGTGTCTAATTAGCAGAATGTGATGTGTTGGAAAGTTTCCTTAATTGCTATTACCCCTGGCTATTAGAATTGGTTGCCAGTGTATCAAGAAGGTTTACCTACAAAAGGGCTGTCAAGAAAGGTTTAGTAAAGCATGAGAAAGTGCAACCACAAAACATTAGCTCTAGGGTATGGATATCCCACTTTAACTGGATATATGACTATTATAGTGTTTTTAAGGCTTGCGTTATCTTGACCTTACAACCCATTGTGTATGGGTGAATTAGGCCCGTAGTCCAAATTGTAAGATGATATCGAAGCTTGTCTTAGATCTATTGTCTTGCTTTAGGTCAATGTCACTGGGTGTATGTTGTAAAGTTGCCTTGATTACAATCACCCCTAGCCCTCCTTAATTAAGTTGGTTGTTAGCAAGGTTATAAGACTTCAGATTCTACATAGGCTTATGGGAGTTTTGTAAACTCAACTTGTACACTTATAGGAGTCTACTTCATATGAAAAATAAAATACCAATGCATCATTGAACAATATAATTGAGTAAAATAGTAAACAATAGTTCCACAATACTAAAATAATTAAATTTAGTAGTGCATGATGACTAATATATAATTAAAACTACACTATAAGTTGATACAATACAATACACTAACAAAATTACATTTAACTTTTTTTCCATTGCCCAAAACATCTACTTCATGTTTTCACCTAACATTTGTCCTATTTTTGTGCAACATTTTTACTTATAGGAAGTGATGATGTTGTTACATTGACATCAAGAGAATTTAAACCTCTCTCACTTCCCAACATTTTTTAATTTGAACAACTAAACATAAAATAGAAAAAAAAAGTAACAACTGTAATTTAAAATGCAATAAAAAAAGGCAAAGAACAATGAAAAGTGAAATAGAACAACACAAAAATGAAACAAATAAGAGAACGAAACAAGACAAAGAAGGAAAACATGAAGAGCTTATGCAGCAAAGAACAAAAACTAATACACGTCATGCAAAGGAGAACACATAGGGGTTTAAGAAAGGAGAACACATAGGGTTTTGCAAATAGGAGATAGGGGTTAAGAAAGGAGAACACATAGGGGTTTAAGAAAGGAGAACACATAGGGTTTTGCAAATAGGAGATGCGTTCAACGAGGATGAGTGCGAGCATTGACAATAGTAGAATCAAAATCTAAGAAGAATGACAAAGGGAAAAATTAAGAAAAAACCTACTGGCACCCACCCAACTTGAGTTTAGAGAGGCATGACGAAACGACACCTAACTGTCGTTTTTAATGCAATCCATCTCACTCACGAGTTTGATTTAGCCTACCCCAATTTGAACAAGTCTACTAAAAACTAGGTTTACACGAGTTAACTTGTAAACTCATCTGAGTGAGTTAACTTGCAAGTTTGTAACCATGGTTGTTAGTGTCTTGAAAAATGGTACTGTGGAGATATTGACCAAAAGGCTGGGTAAAGCGTCTTATAGTGCCAGCTGCTGAGATGTTGACTCTTGGTGGTTGAGGTCTTAATTTAATTAGAGATATACTAAAGTACTGTTTGGAAGACTTGGGCAGTCCTCATCTCCCAAAATGGTTTTATTGAATTGAGTTAGACTCTTAAGTCCAAACCTTAAGATGGGCTTTGTTCTTTTCATTTATTCTTTGGCTTCCTTATTATTAACGGTGTAGGATTTTTGTTTTCTGAATGTTCTTTCAGGTTATTGCTGTTGCTAAATCTTCAGACATAGTATTGATGGTTCTTGATGCTTCCAAAGTAAGTGCCATTTTACATTTTCTAATGCAGTCTTTGACTCTTTATAGTATTGCTAGTTAATAAATTGATATGTTGGCCAATGGTAAACTATTATTTTAGCTAGAGATAATAAGTAGCTAAGATTGTGTTGGCTCAAACGTTAACATGTAGACACCCAACAGGCCTAGACCTAAACTAGTTGCATTTTTCATGATGGAATTTTGCTCACTGGCACTACCACTTTTAATTTTTCTTTGCACATCTCTTCTATCCTATTAATTACATCAGAGCGTATTAATGAATAGTGTTTCTTACTTTGTGTTCCACTGAGTAAAAAATAAATGCAAGTTCTACATATTTTCATTTTCCCCTTTTCTTTTCATTCCTTTAAAAGTCCTCCTACCATGCAAAGGGTAGGGTAGCATACGACAATGTTTGTGAGTGCCCACTGTTTTGTGATCCATTTCAGAATCAATGTTGCATACAAAATTGATTCATGGTGACATTGTTTAGATAGATTAATTACATTTAAATTTGAAATGCAAAACTTTCAATTTTCAAGCCATGACCTTTTTATATGTGTTTCCAATGTGTCAGAGCGAGGGTCATAGACAAATATTAACGAGAGAGTTGGAAGCTGTGGGCTTGCGGTTAAACAAGAGACCACCTCAGGTAAGAATGTGCTCCAATATTTTGGGATGTATCATGAAGCATGTATTATATGTAGCATGTAGGACCAAGTTGGATTTATGTTTCTGTCATCATTTTCTCATTAATTTGGAGCTTTATGTTTCTTGGCAGATATATTTTAAAAAGAAAAAGACGGGGGGCATTTCATTCAACAGCACTTTGCCTTTGACTCATGTGGATGAGAAGCTTTGTTATCAAATCCTGCATGAGTACAAGATTCACAATGCAGAGGTATACATCAAACTGTAATGTAATGTCAGTTGCAATTCCTCTCTGGGGACTTGTAATCATGGAACAATATGATCATGCAGTTGTAATTATCATTCTGTGTAGGCTAGTCTTGATATAACTGGCTTTTTCCAGTGATTGAACCTCACCATCTTGATAAATTTTGTAATGTCCATCACGACTTTTTTTTTTATTTAACTTTATTTTCTATAACCGACCAATATGAAGGGAGTTAGCTGACAATTTGACTCTCAGGTCCTTTTTCGTGAGGATGCTACAGTGGATGATCTTATCGATGTCATTGAAGGAAACCGAAAATACATGAAGTGTGTATATGTCTACAACAAGATAGATGTTATTGGTATTGATGATGTGGACAGATTAGCCCGTCAACCCAATTCTGTTGTCATTAGCTGCAATTTGAAGGTTGGTTAATATTTTCACTCTCTGAAGAAGAATGAGATAACATAAGGTTTTAGATACCATAAGGTTTTGGCGATTATTTTTTTCCGTTTTCACCCTTTTATTGCATGTTGCTACTAGCATTACTAACACAAGTTTTTATTTTTGTAAACAGCTGAACTTAGACAGACTACTTGGAAGGATGTGGGATGAAATGGGTCTGGTTAGAGTTTACACAAAACCTCAAGGCCAGCAGCCTGATTTTTCTGATCCTGTTGTTCTTTCTGTTGTATGTTGCATTATCTTTATATGTTCCTTATTCTATTTGGCCTTTTTTTATATAATCTATAATAGAGATATCACTTTCTCTGGCAAAATATGTTTTAGGATAGAGGAGGCTGCACTGTAGAAGACTTCTGCAACCATATTCACAGAAGTTTGGTGAAGGATGTCAAATATGTTCTGGTGTGGGGTACAAGTGCGAGGCACTACCCACAACATTGCGGTCTTAGTCATAATCTTCGTGACGAGGATGTAGTACAAATTGTTAAGAAAAAGGTCAGAAAACCCACCGTCAATCTTGTTTTCTGCTGTCTGACTCATCCATCATCATTTGTTCAAATTCTCTGTTCTTGCCACTGGCTAAACACCTGTGCGATGTCGAGAGATTGAATGTGATTTATATTGTATTTATGTATATATTCAGGAAAAGGAAGAGGGAGGAAGGGGAAGATTTAAATCACATTCCAATGCACCTGCTCGGATATCTGACAGAGAGAAGAAGGCACCACTGAAGACATAATTTGTTATATGACACTGCCTGTTATTTCATTGATTTGCCTGGTGGATGGGAAAAATGACCAGAGTTTATGATACATCCAAAAGCAAAAGTTCTTGTCTTGATAGCTCTTGCAACATAGGATTGAGTGTTTCTCCTGAGCACATATTTTTGCCACCCAAGTGTTGTAACCCTCCCCTCTTTGAAATTACAGTTTCTATTAATTATTAAGTGTGCATCTAAGACTTGAAGAGAAGCAGAAAGTAAAGGAAAGGGGCACTGCATCTTGAAAATTTGCTTTAAAATTTTGCATTATTTTGACTATGGATAAAAAATGTCGGATATTAGGTACTATTGGTGTTATTTTCTAATCAGATGTGAAATTTCATCTTAAAATATGCGACAAAGATATTTAATAGAATTCTATATTATGCAAATTATTGAGATGAATTCTAATTCTATTGTGAGAACACTAACAATTACATTCATATTTAGGTAGAAGTATTGTTTTTTTTTTTTAACCTCATTTAGGTTGAAAAATGAATTTGCTCCCTTGTCTAAACATGAATAAAGTTGAGCTAAATAGATCTTGATTCAGTTAAATTAATGAGAAATTGGGATATCTTGAGATCTAGTTCTTGATTAATGGGGAAAGATTCATCATGGACCACAATCCTATGAATGAGCCTTTTCTAAAGTCAACAAAGATTTTACATCATGGAACCAAGGCACTAAGTAATAATGAATTCAACCAGCAAAATACATGAATTTACATTATATCCTGCATGATTTACATATAAAACAAAATTTCTATTAGTTTATTTTACTATACCATGATTTACACTGCTTTCGTAAAGATTCAAAAATGTCCACTCAACCTTTGTGTTCTGAACAGAAAGAATGAAAAAGAAAAAGAAAATAAAAATTGGTATGTGCATAATAAATTCTAATAACATATAAATCTGGTTATGGACCATTAATCAAGTCATTTATATCACGTTTTTTTCATAATAAAGTATATATTTAACATTTTTATTATCTTGATATTCTCACTTTTTTTGTTGTTTATTTAAAGTTTAGAATTTACTTTGCATAACGTACTTTCTTATTTTTGTTTGGTTTTGTGTAGAATAGAAATAAGCAATCAATTCTGTGACCTTAAATATCTAACAAATTTTAGTACCTACTCATATACTTTGGACCACTCCACAACTATGAGTTAGTAGACTTGGGACAAGCTGAGGGGGTGCGAAACCCTAAGCTACACAATTATTTATAGTATTGTTTTTATTGAAATTAAAAATTTATCTTCACAATGGATAATAAAGGTTAATATTTATATTGGGGTAAACATTTAATTTTAATGAGAATTTTTAAGATTTTGATGCTTGTATTATCATGTTTTATTAGTTCCGACTTAGTTATTTCAGTTTGGAAATAAAAAATTGAAAATCTACGTAATGAAAGTAATAAAAGAATAATAAAAAAATACTAAAAATAAGAAAATGATTTATTATGATATAGATTGACTTAATTATATTCACTAAATTTTTCATATTAAATTCTAGTAATTATAAACTGTCTTTCTTAATTAAAAATAGATAAAAATAATAATTTATACTGAATATATTGAATCGAGATATCTATTTTACATGTTTATATATATATATATATATATATATATATATATAATAAAAATATAATAAAATATTAAATATTAATCATATTTATATATGATAAAATATTAACTATATTTGAATTATAATTATTTAAGTTAAAATAATAATTTTATATTTTTTCTCTTATTTTAAATAATAATAAAAGAATTAATACCTAATTTAAATAAAAAATAATAAATCAATATTTCAATAAATTTAAATCAAACGAAAATTGTAAAAAATAATAATGGTTTGGCATTCCATTATTTTTCAATTCACTCCTTTTTATCTAAATTTCGCTTTGAAAAATATCTCTATTAAATGATACTGACGTATATCTTTTAGTTATGTTTTTAATCTTCATTCAATTTAAATATTTTGCAATACATTTTTGTTAAATATAAGAAAACTAATAGTAATGAAGGTTATTTAGAAAATAAAAAATAGTTTCAACAAAATAATAATATTTTTTTTAAAATCTGCATGTTTTATTTTAAAGTAGACCTATCATGTGATATGAGGGTCAACCCATCCCTTAAAATTGATTTCAATGGTGTTAAAATAATATTTAGTCAGCGGAAGTTAACATATTTCTTAACAAAATTAATAATTACTCCAATTAATTTCTTCACAAGCCTAAATGCTTACTAATCATGGTCATTACTATTTTGAAAAATAGTTTTACGTTTTATAAAGTTTGTTTGTTCTCTTCAATATATTTCTCAGTGTTTGTTACCAAAGTATAGTTCTATTTTCTCCAATTTTGTTACCAAACTTTTTTTATTTTCAAAACTTGATATATTTCAGCTGAAAATTTGATTGTTGAATATAGTGACTTTGTTTTAGATCATAGTTTTTAAAACAAGAAAAAAAGTAAGAATGTTTGATTCCATTAACCAAGGATGCTATAACTATTGCTAGTATTTTAATGGTAATAATTAAATAAATAAAAAATGATACTTGAACAAGAGGGATTGTAAAGATCACAGAAAATATTATAAACACAAAACCCTAAATAGATAAAGAGAATTAAAATCTTATTTGAGTTACACTAAAGTTCTTTTCTTTAAGTCGCTATAAAGCTCTTTATCTTAAAAAAATGTTTATGTGTGGATGGATCCAAGGGTCTGAGCACCAGATTAGCCTCCAAAGCAAGACTTTCAAAGTCAATTATTGGTACTTTTTGATGTTTGGTAGAATGCCTCCTTTGCTTATTTTAGTATTTTTACTGCAACCATTATGCCAATTACACTATGAGAACACCAAAAAGCCCAAAAAGTGTTCATACCAAAGAATTCCAATAATATTCCATGTGATTGGGAACAAAGACTAGTCGTAGTGGTGTTTGGTGAACAGGATCGAGTAAATCATCTGTGGTTGCTTTCTTTCCACACCACCAAACATCTCAAAACAAATAATGAAGAACAATATCTCAAAAAGTTGTTGTTCATTATTGAACAATATCTCTTGCTGTCCCTCCTAGACATGATGAATCTGAGGAAAACAAATGAGCAAATCATTTTGAAGAGATAAAAGACCAGCATATAAAATCCCTAGACTTTAATCCATGCTGAGTGTTGGTTAAAGACCACAATCATCAACATATGATGACATTCATTAAGCAGTAAATTAGTAATTGAATCTCAGACATCAAATATCAAATACAGAATCAAAGGGAAACCAAGTAACAACAACCCAACAATGATCAACATGCAGAACAAATGAATAACTATCCAAAACTGACCAATAAATGTCAGTGAGATCTAAAAAGTTTAAGCTTGGGAACTTGACTAGATGGTCCATGAACATGCTTCATTTCACCCAGTTAATAGAGTTACACAAAATCACAATTGTATGGTCCTCAAATTGATGCTACTTTCATAGATCAGATAATTAACTAAATCTCTGGCCCTCTAAACACAAACCCAATATGAAAAACTTGGCACAAAAATAACTTTGGGGAGGTTACACAGTTTCTCACCCAACAAATCCTATCCTTTCTGGAATCAGAATAAACTTGTTGATTGCAAGAAAGATCAAATTCAATCAATTAGCTGGATCTAATTCTCTTCTGGCTGACTTTTCCATCAGACTTCAAAGTCCCACTGGAGTCCCCTTCAGAAGAAGCTTCTCTGGACTTGGTAAAGGAGTTAGAAAGATCAGCATAGAGATCAACCACCCTTCTGATATTGCTATTGAGCTCTCTAATCAAACCCACGTTTCTATTTAGATTATCAGGCATCTTGGACTCATGGTTTTGGTTTATCTCATTGATCAGTAACCGGTTCTGATTCAAAATATCTTGAGCTTGCAACAAGCTCTTCTGAAATACTTGTAAAAGCCTGCTATCTACTTGAGTTGAATTGCCTAGCTCTCCAAATATGTCACCGTCCATCTCAATTACACTTAGGATTCAGTTAACAAATAATCCTGCAAAAAAATCAATGATAACAAACAATATCGAGTGAATGAAAAGCTAAAACTTAAACCCTGATCGATACATGAAGAAGAAAGAGACAGAAATGTGTGAGAATTCTTACAAAATTAAAATACTAAGAGACAAACAGGTATGAATAGGATGCTTAATCTACCTGATTGCAGATGAGAAAAGCAATTGAAAAAGTTGATCCAGTTGGAACAGGAATTTTGGGAAACACAATGATCAATATCACACATACTTTTACCTATTCTTTCCTCTATCTCCTAAGCAAGTAAGCAAAAGGGAAGGAAGGTTTTGCATAAGATTCCAGAGACCCATCAAAAGACATCATCAGGAAGAAATACTTTTTCTCTCTCACTGTCCTAAAGCAAGGGACCCTTTTCCACAAGAAAGAACCTTTTCCTTTTACTGTTACCAATGAAATCAAGATGGTACAGAGGAGGACACAGTGACACGCACAACACAACACAAACAAGCACCAAACCACCTCAGTAGTGGGAATCCCAAAAAAGCCAAGTCAATACCACAACAAGTCTTCCCCTTCTAATAAAATAACAGAACCCCATATGAATATAAATTAAATTAAATTAAATTATACACAGTTGAAGGATGAATCAAACAGACCCACCAGACCCAGAAACGAAAAGATGGAAACTTTTGAAGAACCCAGAATGTGATCTTACCTTGAGAAGGAGGAGCATCCCAGTTGTGGTAAGTGACGATAAAAGGAGAGGTAGAATGTTTGGAATTTTGTTGGGATTGAGAGGAAAAGAGAGATATTTTGAGGGGAAAAAGAAAGAATGGAATAGGAGGAGTGAAGAAAGGCCCTGAAATGATGGAGAAAAAAACAAAAGGGAAGAGATGATCGATGATGCGCGTTAAAATAAAAACCTCGTTTACATCAACAACAACCGCAGTGAGTGTGTATTGTGGGCACAAACAAAACAGCGCAGCACTTAACGGGGACAGGCAAGTTTGCTCTTACAAGTTGCCCACACCGAAGCCTTATGCCAACACCACACATGTAATTTGTAACGTAACATATCATTTACATGCCTTATTCTTCTGCTCTATTAATTGCTGTCTTGTCTTTCCTTCTCCTATCTCTTTTACACTTTTTTTGTAAAAATAAATCATATAGAGTTGAACAAAACTATTGCAAGTAAAAAAGTTTTTATCTTTACCATGTAAGGTATGTTCAGTGTTTGTGGAATTTAATAAAATGATTTACCAATGTATTTTATGAACCTTAAAATTTAGAATATTGAAGGTTGTTTTTAGTTGGCATGCACTGCAAGATTTATCTTTACTAAAAAAATTTAATCGATCAATATTAATTATTAATATTTATTAAAAATATTATCCCATCTCCTCCTAATTAATTTTCTTCAAATTTTATCATCAAACAAAATTTATAACAAAAAATAATTATTATAAAAATTAATAATTAAAAAAAAAACTATATGCAAGACAGTTTGTAATTATATTAACGTTTAAACATATCCAATATTAATGAAAATGTTCTTTTTTCAAAATTTTAAATACTATCAAACAACTAACTTTTATAATATATCATGCAAATATTATTGTTAGGTGTAAGTTTGAAAAACAATTAAAACTAATTTTTAATTCTTTTAACTTAAAATCTTTTCAAGATTAGTTCAAAAATTATAGTTGTATGGTGGTAAGCGTGGTTATAACTATGTTACTATTATTAATGATAATGATTAAAAATTGATGAATATTTGTATATTATTTGATCCAAAAATGAGGATCAAGACATGATCTTCATATTTTTTTTATTTATGTATTTATATATATGTGGTAAAATATTAAATATTAAGAATATTTTAATTATAACTACTTAAATTAAAATAAAAACTTAATAATTTGTATTTTATTTAAATAATAATAAAAATATAATATTTAATTTATATGAAAAATAATAAAATAATATCCCAAAATAAAATATAAATACAATTCATTAGAATAATAAATTCAACCCTTCAATTTTATAGATGATTAATGATTCATCCATTATTTTTTAAAATTCAATGGGTTCTCTATTTAACATTTAATTAATAAAAATCATTTTCATAATTAAATCTTCCTTGAATTTTAAAACAATAAAACAAATCAATTTTTAGAGGGAAAGGATGAGTCGTAGAAAATTGTTTTTAGAAAACAATGAAAATAATTTAAAAATGAGATTAAATTAGGAGTATTTAGAAAATGTATTTAAAAAATAGAAAAATAAAATTATATATATATATATATATATATATATATATATATATATATATATATATTATGAGTCTTGTTAGACCTTGCTGACATTAGATAAGAAATTAAAATAAATTAATAAAATTATATAAGAATGCATCAAAAATTAAAGAGTTTTTTTTATGCTTCTCCACAACAACAAAAAATCCACTTTTAATTCTTCATCGCAATCTTACATTTATCATTCATTTATGATAGGTATAATTATTATTTGTCAAACTAAATGACACAAATATCCCGGTTAGATTGCGTCCTACGACTGTAGAATTTACCATCTTTGGGCTTTCGACTTTCCTGATATTTAGGTTATTAAATAAGGCCCAGTTTAGGTCTACATCAACTTTAACTACTAAAATTTAAGTTCTCTTTAATATAACGTGTTTTTTAAGGTACAGTTATTACTTATATTTATTACTAATAACCAACTATGAAAACTTTATTATAATTTTAAGATAACAAATACTTTTTGTTTTTCTTTATATTTTTTATTTCTTAATATATAATTTAAGAATATGAATAATGAAATTATTGTTATTTTTATCTTTTTCTCTCTTTTTTTTTTATCGTTTTTAAGAATATGTTTGTGAATTCCATTAAGCTCTATAAACAGAGCATATATACTCACACAAACACTCTTATATATAGTTTCCATTCAACCAATTATTAAGAAAAATATGCCGAATGTTGAGATATATGAAAGTGAAATTAAAAGCAGAATAATTAGATATACCAATTGATAACGAAGTTCGACCAAAAAAGTCTACGTCTCTGGACTACTATAAATATTTTATATTTTACTAGGAGAAAAAAAATACATTGATGTTTACAAAACACTCTCAAATCACTCACAATCCACAACCCAATTACGCCCAGAAACTAAGCTATTTCTCTTACTTCTTGCTTCTGCTCGTTTTCTCTAGTTTTGGATGATTTCTTACATACTAAAGAATGTCATATTTATAGCAAAATTTGGGTACTATTCATCACAAAAAATAAGCCACAAAACATGCAAATTTTTCTTTCCTGTTTTCTTTAAATGTGGCTCCGTTGTAATGTTTTCCTCCAACCACTTGCCACCTTTTGACTTTTCAACAATCTTCGACTTGAGGATTTATTTTAATTTGTCCTCACACCTTAATTAATGCAATAGTTTTCTCTAGTCTGTTATTTTAGCAAGCTAACTGAAGTTGAGCACAACTTCAGTTTGTCAATGGTCACCTCCTTTGTTAGCATATCTGTTGGGTTCTTACTTCCTACAATTTTCTTCAATGTTACCTCAAGTAAAGATCTAATGAAATGATAATGTATGTCAATGTGTTTGGTTCTAGAGTGAAATACTGAATTCTTTGCCAGATGTATTGCACTCTGACTATCATTGTGCAAAACACTCCTTTCTTAAATGAATCTCAGCTCTGCCAATAATTCTTGAAGCCATATCATTTCTTTACTAGCTTCTGTCATTACTACATACTCAGCTTCTGTAGTGGATAAAACAACAATTTTTTGTATTCGTAACATCCAACTAACAGTTGTCGTTCCGATAATGAAAACATAATCGGTGGTGCTTCTTCATTGATTAATTTCACCTCCAAAGTTAGCATCTACATAGACCTATAATTTTAGATCTCATTTTCCAAAGTACAAACATTTTTCTATTGTGCCTCATAGATACCTTAAAAATACACTTGACTGCTTCCCAATGAGCTTTTCCTGGATTTACCATAAATCTGCTTACAACTCCCACTGTATGGCCAATGTCTGGTCTTGTACAGACCATTGTGTACATCAAACTTCCAATGGCTGAAGCATACGAAATCTTAGCCATAAACTTTTTTTCTTCCTTTGTCTCAGGGGACTAATCCTTGGATAGATGAAAATGACTAGCCAAAGGTGTACTGACTGACTTGGCTTTATCCATGTTAAATCTTTGCAAAATACGGTTGATGTACTCCACCTAAGATAACTGTAAAACTCCTTTTTGCTTATCTCTTATGATTTGCATTTTCCAAGAATCTTCTTTGTTGGGCCTAATTCCTTCATGTCAAATTCTATTGACAACTGCATCTTCAAATTTTTGATATCTTTCATATCTGATCCTATTTCTAACATGTCATCAACATAAAGTAGCAATATGATATAGCCGGACTTATACCTCTTGAAGAACAACAATAATCAGCATTGCACTTTTGGAAACCTTCCTTGTGCATGAAGCTTTCAAACTTCTTATACCACTGTCTTGGAGCTTGTTTCAGGACATACAAGCTCTTCTTTAATTTGCACACCATGTTCTTCTTTCTTTCTGAAAACCCTTTAGACTAGTGCATGTAGATCTCCTCATCCAAGTCTTCGTGAAGGAATGCAGTCTTCACATCTAATTGCTCTAGGTAGAGCTCTTTATTAGCCACAATACTTAACACAATCCTGATAGTATGGAGCTTTACAACTGGAGCAAAGATTTTAGTGTAGTCTACTCCTTCTTTCTGTTGAAACCCTTTGACAACCAGTCGAGCTTTATATCTCTTGGAACCATCATGGTCTTCCTTTACCCGATACACCCATTTGTTTGTGAAATGCTTTCTTTCCCATAGGTAACTTGACTAGTTCCCATGTCTGATTGGAGATCAAAGACTTCATCTCGTCTTTCATGGCAAGTTCCCACTTGCTAGCATTCG